TAAGTCTTTACAGGCCTTTCAGTAACTTTTTACTTAAATTCTTTATTGATAAGTCTTTTATGATGATTCATATCTTATTAATGATCTGATCTCATTACTAGTCTTTTCAGAATCTTTCTTGAGATTATTATATTATATTCTTTTGATATCTCATTCTTAATTATTTATGTACTTAGTCAAACTAAATATTGATTCTTCATGTCTAGTTATGTTTTCTGCTTTACTAGCCAAGACTGTTCTAGAATTATATTAGTACTCCTCAGATCTGTTATTAGTATTGATGTATTGAGAAACCTTTAGTCATCTATTCACAGATGCAAGGAGATAATTTCTGTAATTGAGTTTTCTCTTCATTCATTGAATTCCATGACCTGGTGGTCTTTTATCAGCTTCTCAAAGTTTACTTCTAAGGCTTTGACACACTTGTGTGCAAAGCTTATATCAATAAGAATATAGCAGTTTGCTTCAGAATCTACTAATGCTTTTGTAGAAATAGTATATTCATTAAAAGCTACTTTGATATATATAGTAAAAGAGTTCTCACTTATTAACTAATTCACATTCAAAGTTTCTAGTGCAACTATCTTATCTAAGAAGGAGGCTTTTCTCAGATTTAATCTTTTTCTAATTTGATGATAACAGTCTCAGTATTCACTTTCTTCAGTTTTGTCTCTTGCTTATATGAACAATTTTGAGCTATATGATCTTTGCTTCAGCAATTAAAGCATTTCACATTCTTCTTTCAATTCTCATTCTTCATTCTATTTTCAGTTATCTGTGCTGATATAATTGAAGTTGATTTATAGTTCTGAGATATAGAAGTTTCTTCACAGCTGTTTCAAATTATTGAAATTCTTTCACAACTAAGCAATCTTCAGTTATGATAATCTGACATGCCTTTAAGATAGTAAGCAGCCCAGGTGCAGATATTTTGAATCTTTTGAAAGATGCTGCAATTGATATATGCTATTGCAATCATAAGTTAAAGATCAAAGAAAATCTTATGAAGAAAATCTACTTTATAATCTTTCTTATGAATCTGAGCTTCACCAGTCAAGTGCAAGAATTTGATCATAAATATATAATAATCATCTTCATTTTTCATTATCAGATGTTAGTATTCTGTCTTTACATTCTCAAGCTTATTAACATTCTTATATATTTCTTGTAGATACTTAAACACTTTCTCAGCTGTTTTAAACTTCTCAGAATAATTTTTCTTCATTCTTGAGACTAAGTGTCTAGCAGCTTCATCATTAATTCAGTTTTTGATATAAATAATACAGCTTTCTTTAGTTGAAAAATGGTCAATGTTGACAGCTAACTTGTATTTTATTCAGAAGAGTCTGTTTTCAAATATCAATTCTTTCCTATTAGTAAGATGTCTAGAATTATCAAATTTGACTGATTATCATATTTGTTGATTGTTCATCAGTCTAATTTGAGAAGTTAAAAAGTTTACCATCTACAGTAAAGCATTTTATTTCTCTATAAGGCTATTCACTTACTGATTAAATTTACTCACTTGCTTTTTCTGCTCATCTTGTTCTACTCTAACCCTTTTTAAAATGCCTCTTGTCTTATTCATAAGATTAACAATTTCTTGATATACCTGCTCTGAATCTTCTTTAATTGTCTTAAAAAATTATTCTTTGAATATGAAATTTCTTAACCTCATATTCTTCTCAATCAGAGTCATTATATCTCAGTCTGATTTTCATAAACTATCAGATTCTCTAACTGCTTCTGATATCTTAGCAGTTTTCTCAAAAATCTCACAACAAAAGTAGATAAAAATTCTCAAAGATTTTTCACTTAAAAACCTGCTTTAAAAAGGGCAAGAAAAGTAAATAATCTTAATATTATGTCACAGCTTCAGCTAGATGCAGGTGAACTAGTGTTCAATTGCCAACTAGATAAGCTATCTGAGTGAATACTAAGATGATTTTTAAAAGATGGGTTTGGGGAAGGCTCTGTTTATATAGCCCTTTTTCTCTAGCGCTGTTGCCATGTGATTGCCACTTTTATGTGTTATTCATACAGAGGGTAATTGTGGGGTTGTTTGCCGTTGCCTAGGCAATTGTTGTTTACCGATCACCTTGGCCCGTATGATGACCGATCGCCTCGGCCTGTATGATTACCGATCGCCTCGGCCTGTGGCGATTATGCTGTCGAGAAGGTTGGACGTAATCCTGTTCTACGCCATCACAGTCTGTTGTACTGTCAGATCCTTGCTGAGCAGGTTCTACTCAATCCTGAGTAGAAAGGATAGGATGAAAAGCTTAGTATTATGTTAGGGAATGAATGCGAGCTGCATAAGAAGGAAACTCTCTGCATTGCTAACTGCTATATAATGAAATACTAAGCTTGATGGGATGAAAGGGGTGCTGGGCCCTGCCCGGGTTATAACAACCCGCATGGTCGTGTGGTCACGTGATGAGGATTAGGCCTAATCGGGTGCCGAGCTTAATCCGACGTCGAGTCTAACCGGGCACCGGGCCTCGGTCGGGCTCGGTCGGGCGCTGAGCCTAACATTGAGTTAATAATTGAAAGTGAAGTACGATATATTAAAAAGATGCATAGCTCCAGCAATTGAGAATGCTTCTTGATTTTTAATGACAGTTATTGCTAGTTCAAGACCTCTCTCTATCTCTATAGAGTTTCTTGCATTTTTACTGCGAGTTGGTGACATTATTGTGTGTTGAAGAAGTTAATTGAATTTTCTAGTTCTGCGTTCAATTTAGATGTTCGCTCATTTGGTGGTCGCTGGTAATTACGTTAACATAATGATGACATAAAAACTGGACCTTCGGAGCAACAGATAATCCACATCTGATACCCAAGCCCGCGCTAGTCCGTTCCCTGCCTAGTGTGTTTTCCCGTGTCTCCAAAGATTCAACGCGTAACTAACGAACTAATTAGTTAGCCCCTTATGTAAGCCCTCGCGTTCCTTGCGGCATCAACTAACCAACCTCCTCAATATAATCCGGGACCTCCCAAGCCACCCGATTTTCTCTCTCCCTTTCTTCCAAGTTCCCTCTGCTGCTGGGCAGTTGTTCGCGCCATTCCGTACTGCGATATCTTTTGCAATTGCTAGATCATCTTTTCCTACAACCCCAGCAAACCTCCGTCCTCTTAAATTCGGTCACCTAAATAAAATACTTAAAAGAACAAATTCCCCCTCCTTTAACTACCCACCCACGTGACAGCTTCGAGATTATCACACACACTCAATTGCTGCTAACCAATACTTCGAGGGCGCTATACTATACTTGCCACAGCTCCTGTAGCTTCTTGTTTACGTTCCTCTTAAGCTCAACTTGCCCTGCGCGCTCGGAAGCCCTCCCATCGTGCTTGCGCAAGTCCACACCAGCCGGTCGCTCATATAGACAATGTCATCGAGGGGTCGCGGCGGGAGACCAGTACCGGCAGATAGTCCACAGGCACGACGGACAAGTGGCGGAGGAGTTGGCTCAAGATCTGAATCCGCAGTTGCCGGACCATCGTCGAGAGGAGGAATCTCAAAGGCGAAGAAAACTGGAAGGTATGGGAAGGGCGTAGGAGGTCGGACTACTGACATACAACGTATGTTATAACATGTTATATTCTTTCCATTCCGTGCCGAGATATATTCCTTTTGAACATCCTCACACATAGCTCAATTGACCACTGGCAACCATGATACCATCTCAAACTATTAAACTAACATCCTTAATTCCCCATATCCAGCGGGCGACCCACTGCCCCGTCGTCGCCGCTATCGACCAGGCACAGTAGCCCTTAAGGAAATCCGCCGCTATCAAAAATCATGGGACCTTCTCCTCCTCAAACTTCCCTTTGCCCGTCTAGTCCGTGAGGTTGCCGTCGACCTACTGCCCGCCGGCGTCGGGGAGGAGCTTCGATGGCAGTCCCAAGCTATCCAAGCCCTACAAGAGGCTGCGGAAGCGTTTCTCGTACACCTATTCGAAGACACGAACTTATGCGCCATACATGCAAAGAGAGTAACAATCATGCAAAAGGATATACAATTAGCACGGCGGATACGCGGTGCTTGGGCTGGTTTGGGATGATAATTTTTCGTTTCGCAACGTTGCGGATCGGATCCAAATCCTCGAATATTTTTTGTTCTCTTTTGTGTCCCAGAAGGAGGGGAAACGAGGAGTAAAAAGGATGTATATAGATATGTGTGATTCCTCCGCCTTCTGTCCTGTTCTTTTTCTTTTCGCATCTGTCATTGTACTTCTTCCCCTGAAGCGTTCCTTTTCTCCCTTTGCCTTTATATTTCATTCTTGCATTGGGTACGCATTTGGGTGGTCGGTCAGCCGGGTATATACAACTTGTTATTTTATTTTGGTGTTCTTGGGAAGGGGGAGGGGGCATTATCGGCTAAATATGTTCCGTGCTGGGATTTTGTTGGGCGTATGGGAGTTTGTATCTCTTTTCTTTTTGCCGTTCCTAGATATTCTTGCCAATTGGGGTAGAGAAAAGTTAATATGGGCAACAAACAAAAAACAAGGGTAGAGTCATGGCATTAACTAAGAAGTGCGACTCCGTATTATCTTCCACTGTTCATGTCGGTTAAGAATTGTACAGATACCTTCCTTTTCTCTTCTTTTCACTTCTCTCGTTTCCTTCTCGAACTTGGTTCTGTTTTATCAACCACTTCCCTATATTCCACCCCTTGTCCCTGTTGCGATAAAACCTGAACGACCCAGGATGGAAGGGAATCACAATGACATTAACTCTATTTATATAGGCTGGAAGAATTAAACAACGATCAAGATCCAAAACTCACTGCGTCCTGAAGATAGAGAAGAAATAAAAAAATGTACAGACACGTCATGGCAACCTTGAACCACCGGTATATAACCCAGCTATAGAACGCCAACCATGTAGGTAAATTCCATACATATATCACCACAAGGACAGCATAAAATGAAGAGCAATAATAAACCAAGTCTAACTTTCATTACCCTACTCTAAACGGAAGGGGTATTTCATCAAATCTCCACAGCCTTTATAATCATTTCCGACGATCGCCCACCTCCCGGCTCACCTTCTGGCCCATTATTAGACGCAGAAGAGCTAGATTTCATCTTCTTCAACACAGGCGGTAACCCCAACAGCGCAATATCCGCCTGCTCCCTCGTTGCTCTCGCCTCCCCCGATTTCCCCTGCGAGTCCAAAGTAGCCGCTAGCAGCTCCTCAGTAACAGATATCCACAGTTTATCATCTGCCTTCCTAGCCATGGCCCGGGCAGCCTTGGCGCTTTTCTCAGACTGCTCACCCACGACGCCCCGGAAGTATTTCCAGCTCATAAAAGTCAGTGCGATACAGGTTACTTGGCTGTTGCTGATTGCCGTGGCGGCTTGGAGAGAATGGTGAAGGTCGCGTTTGGTTTGGATTGTGGATTCTGGGTGTGTCGTGGCTGATATTAGGAAATAGGCGGCCTGTATGTATTTGTTTGAGCTTGTCCGGCAAAAGGGTTCTATCGAGGAGAGGGTCTTGGAGGCAGCGGAGTGGGAGAGGCGGGAGGGATCACGTAATATCAGGGCAGAATTGAGGGCGGCAAGTATGGCGGTGTCACGTCGCGGATCATTGCGGGAGGACTTGCTGGTAAATTGATTGAGAGCGAAAATGGGTCCTTGAAAAGTTGTGAGTGCGGCTTTGAGATCACCTGTGCCTTGGGAGATAATGCCGCTTGCGTATTCCATGAGACATTTGGTTGTTTCATCTAAATTATCCCCCAGCTCAGATGAGGCTGCATGCAGTTCTTTTAACGTCTGGCGAGCGAGGGCCCAATCGGTTCGGGCACAGGCAAGGAAAATTAACTGTAGGAGCATATTGCAGTACAAAGCTCGTCGCCATTCGATCCTCGCTGCAGCAGATGATAGTGACTCGGGAATTTCCTGTGGTGTTTTGAAATTACCTGGCGTTCGATCAGTGAGATTCTTGTAGAATTGTATCAGGGATTGTTATTTGCTCACTTCTTATCATTTTTAATCCCTCACTAAGATACTTCTCAGACTTGTGACCATCTTGTGAGTTTTTTGCTGTTAATGTGACAGAGCTCAGAAAATAGCACAAGGCATAGAGATCATGTTCCGGAAGCCAGCTTAGTGCCAGTGATACATTTCCATCGCTGACTTGTAGAATATCTGTGGGCTCCACGGCTGACGGCGACAGGGTTTTATGGCTGAGTGGTATTGAAAAGCTACCGTCATTCTGCCAGTGTGGATCATCTATCTTCTGATCCATTACCTTTTGCATTATCTGAAGCTTTTCCGCTGATTGCTTGACATCATACTCAAGCAGGCTGCAACATATATCCATAATTTGGATCATTGTACTTATTTGTGGAATGTCGAGCACCCTGTTGTCAAGCTGGTAGCTCCTTGCTGTAGCTAAAGCTCGTTGTGCTTGCTCTATAGAGTCATGACCTGAAGAATGCTGCAGGCGTACTAGGGCTTCGATTACCGAAGAAACAACAAGCACTGCTCTGTCCCCGCTGCGGCCAGCCAGGGAGGAAACCTTCTGTAGGTTCAGGATGGCGGCGGAAGTATCTTGCTGTGAGGAGGAAAGTGAGAGTGTAACTCGAAGTAGACGGAAAGCATATTCCCAGGCAGTATGACGATATCTGATACTGTCAGAAAACATCTCTGTGTTTAAGGATTAACTAAACTCACCCTTCAATGTCACGAATAACACCATCCACATGCTTCATTGCAGCCTTTGGGTTTGACTTATAGAAAATGCGGGCAAGCAGCTGCTGCATACAATATTTTAAATCATACATACGGTTCTAGAGGGGATAGTCAGTTAGGGAACTAGACAAGTTTAAGCAGAAGGATCTGGCTGACCCTTTCACATAAATCAACCTACATCCCACGTTAGCATATTTTCGTAAAATAAGAGGATATCCGTAGCCATACCCCTTTACTCAGGACGCTCTCCGCCTCGGAGTCATTTTCTGTTTCTTCATATAATATCCGGGCATACCGTAACCGCACCAGCGCTTCGGTTCGGGGTTGTAATTTCCAGTTCTTTTTCGAAGAATCAGCAAAACCTAATATACATTTGTATGGGCTGAGGGGGGGCGGGTGACTGATATGGGTAGGAAGTCAAACCTTCAGCACTGCGTTCAGGCAAGCCAGACCAGTAGCTATGAGCTTGTAGTACTCGTCGGTCTCTACCTCATTACGCTCAACTGCAAGTGCTGTGCCTTGGCTGTGAGCCGCATCGATATACTCATCTGCCAGCGAAAGAAGCAGCACATGGTAATCAATTGCGGGTTTTCCAACTCCTTGGTGCTGTTGTGGATGTGGCATCTTCACGGGGGATTTGGAGCGCATGTGTTTCAGGGACGGAGACTTTCTAGGTGGAGCTTGAAGACCTGGCGTGCTTCGCTGTTGCAAACCGCTCACTGATCTCTGCTGATGCAAAGTGGGCTGCAGTTTTATTACGGCCTGAGGGTATACCTGAGGAGACTGTGGGTAGGAGGCAGGTTGAGGATGTGATTGAGGTCGGGGGGGTAGTTGCATTGGATACTGCTGCTGTGGCGACGGATATGTATCGGGTCGGTTTGGGATAGAATAATATTGCGGAGACAGAGCTCCGCCGTATTGAAGCGGTGCATTATTTGCGGGCGGAGGGCGAGCTTGGATTGGCCGCGGTGTGTAATTTGGGGAGGGTTGATTCACTGTCTGTTTGTTGTTGATAGGGTGAGCATTGCTGCGACGCGTAGGGAGCCGCGGGCAAGACAATCTGGGAATGGGAGACAGGCTTTGAATATGCCGGATACGAGGCATTTTGACTGAAGTCGTAATGGTGCTGCGCGGGTGGTAATCGCGGTTGTTGCGCGTGCGACTGAGGCCGGATATTGGGATGGAGTTGTGTCTGGGGGTATTGACCACCATGCGGAGGCTGGTAAGGCATGATTGAAGGGACTGGGAGACAAAGTCTTCACATACAGACGAAATCTGTTAAGCCCGGCTACCTTTTTGCCAAATTGATCTCTGGATTCTACGATCCCCACCCAACATCTTCAACAACTTGCGCTTCAAATTTCATTTGGGAGTTCGAGGAGAGGCGAAGAGGCGGAGCGCCAAGAATCAGGTGACCTGCGTTTAACGACGTCATCCCAGAGAAAGTAAGGACACTATCTAGATCTTACATGCATTTGATAACTATCCTTTCCTACCGCAGAGAGAACAAATTCTAAAACATTTTACAGGAGATAAAGAATAATGGACGACACCTATGTGTTTGGACATTTGTTCGCAAGAACATTTATGTTCCGACTGAAATAATAGTGTCTTGAACTGATACTTCAAAATAGCCAGCTTTAGAAATAAACATCTCGTCTGGCTGTCAACCTGGTCTCAAAACCAAATGACATAACACCAATGCCCGTTGACAAAAGGGAATGCCATCAAAAAAATCACTCCGTTTGGAGATAACATCCGACCGCCGTTCCACAGTCTTGAAATTGCCGCAAGGTTCAGGATCAGGAATCTTATTCGAACCCCTATCAGAAACCGGTATCCTGCGAGAAGGGTGTGTATGTAGACTCATAAGGCACACATGTCTGTGATACCACTAATGATGGCAATCATGAGTATTCAAGCCACCAGTGTGGCGACCATGTACGCATATCGACCTGGTGACAGGAGTGGTAAGGGGAAAATGCGCTGTGATGATATAGCAACAACGTTGTCAGGTGTAGTTTCCCAGGTCGATTTTCTTCTCAAGGTACTCCTCAACTCCAGTCATTCCAAGCCGATTGCCCAGGTCCTTACTGTAGCCCCTATAGTCCACCTCACCTAGTGGTAATGCCGTTCAAGGCAAAGGCTAAGGTGTTATTTTCCTGTCTATTGCATAGGACAGGACATCGTCTCCCATAACACACTCAAATGCACTTCAGAACAAGATCGATTACACCAAAGAAAATATCTCGGTCCAATTCAGCTTCTTCAATCCCCAACCCAACAACAAGAAGTCTTCTTTCATTTGGGTTTTTAGTTACGATCAAACTGGCAATTTGGCACGCATAGAGCTGACCAATGGTTTCTCTATGGGTCCCACGGGCACCAAGCACAGATGTCGCAGTCAGGTTCGGCAGCGGAAGCAACCCGTCTTCACTTGGGTCCGAATGAGAATGATAGCCATCAGTTCCGGGGTTTGTATTCTCTAGAGGTACATGTAGCTTTGAGAGAATCAGCATAAGCATATTCAAAAGGAAGATACAGAATCAGGGATTTATACCCATTGCCCTAATTTCCCGTTTTGCGATGTCGTCACCAGGATTTTGTCTGAAAATGAAACTGACATCACGTCTGTTAATACTCCGCCCAATACCGCAGAAGCTTGCTTTATGGAGGCTGGGAATGGAAGACCAGTTTGATCTGGCAGCGGGCCGGCGCTCTTCGTCATCGCCTCGAGCTGGTCATTGGGAGGTATCAAGATGGCAGACATGGCGACGAGGAGGGTAAGACAAGATATGGGTATGAAGTAGTGAATGAATAAGACTTAGAGGACAGTTTTCCCAAAATCAGTTTAGAAATAGTGTGACACAATTAATTCTTTCCAATACAATTCTTGGAGACTTCACACCTTTATCACCGACGTTTTGCGGTGAGAGCAAATAAATCGTGGGGAGGGGCGTCTTCACCGCCTTTTGTGACAGAATCACTTTACTCAATATTTTGCTTTGCGGCATCAAACGCAGAAATCTGTTATAAGGTGCTGAAACGCTGGAGCTCATCACGCAGGCCTTTCTGCTTCAGACAAAATGCAGAAATTTGTCCCTCGACAGCGGAAGCACAAGAATAAATTAAAGGGAAACCAAGACGCGGCACAGCAGGATACCAATGTCACGGAGCTTGCGGCGATTACCAAATCGGAGAAGGAAAAACGGCAGAAATGGAAAGCAGAGCTACAGGCGCAGCAGCCAAAGATTTCTGGTAAAAAACAAAAAAGACTTGCTAAATATATTGTATGCATTTAATCTCTTTCTCTCTGTTTTTAGAAGAGAATAATAAGAGTAGATTTACTAACTTCTCTTCGCAGGAAACTAAACTCAAGAAGGATGAAAACCTCGCCCTCCTCAAGAAGCTCGCAGAATCCAAAATAGATACCAGTCAATTACAAAGTTCTCGAAATTTAGGCAAATCCAAGGACAAAAGGTCTCGATCTTCAGCGCTGAATAACAAAAATAGTAGTGGTTCTGTTCAACGGGCGCAATCTTATGACAACGAGGGAGATGCTATAAAACTTGTCAAGTCCGCCTCCCTGGCCTCCGTTAATAAATCTACCAGTGTTGTCAGCTGCCATATTAACCCTTCAATACCAGCTATTGGAAGTGGTTTGAAACGGCCTCTGGAGGTTGGGGAAGATGGATTCCCAGTTATCAAGAAGCGCAAACGTGCTCCGAAGCGAAAGCTTATATTAGAGGAACCCTCCTGGGAAGAGTTCGAGAGTGACGGAGCTAGCGATGCCGTGACAGAAGACTCAGGCACTGGATCTGGTAGTGGTATGAGTGATTCTGGGTCAGACGGTTCCGGGAACAACATGAAACCAGGACAGAGCGAAAGTGAAGATGGTGAGGAAGACGAAGGAGATGATCAGTCACCCTCGTCCGGTGACGATTCCGGTAAGGAGACAGTAATTCGACCGCGGAATTCTGCATTCAAAGCGTGGGCGGTACAACAAATAAACGATGCAGTAGGCTTTAAGCCTACTGAACATAATCTTCACCCAAATCACTTGGCGCTGCCAAAGAAGCAAGCAAGGCCACGCCCAGTCGAGGAAGAGCCTTTACCAGCTGAATTGCAAATACCAAAGGGTAATCCAAATAGAAAGGCCTTTGCTGTCCAGGTAAATCGTCCAGAAAATATACAATCATCACGTCTGGGTTTACCTGTCGTAGGGGAGGAGCAAAAGATCATGGAAGCGATCCATAATAATCCATGTGTTATTATATGGGGAGCTACTGGAAGTGGCAAAACTACGCAGCTACCGCAGTTTCTCTTCGAAGCAGGATATGGAAATCCGGACAGCCCAAATCCGGGGATGATCGGGATTACTCAACCCAGACGAGTCGCGGCTGTCAGTATGGCGAAACGAGTAGCGGATGAGCTGGGTCAATATTCAGATCAAGTATCATACCAGATCCGATTTGAAAGTACAGAATCCAGCAAAACAGCAATAAAATTCATGACTGATGGTGTTATGATTCGAGAAATTTCCCAGGACTTTTCCCTTTCCAAATATTCGATTATTATCATTGATGAGGCCCACGAAAGGAGTTTGAACACAGATATTCTCATTGGGATGGTCAGCAGAATAGTTGATCTAAGGAAGACTATCCACGAAGAAAACCCCTCTCTAAAGCCACTGAAATTGGTAATTATGTCTGCTTCACTACGTATTTCAGACTTCCTACAAAATGAAAACCTCTTCCGACAGGGACGACCACCTTTAGTGCAGGCCGAAGGACGTCAATACCCAGTCACCGTCCACTTTGCACGCCGGACACATCGAGACTATGTTGAGGAGGCTTTCCGAAAAGTATCCAAGGGACACAAGAAATTACCACCTGGAGCATTTCTCGTTTTTCTGACTGGACAAGGCGAAATCAAGGACTTATCCAAACGTCTTAAGCAAAAGTTCAGATCTACGCACGCCTCTGAAACTTTCCAGGGGAAGGTGAAACTGTCAGCAGCGGAAGCTCCCCTTGAAACTGAGGATATTGAACTTGGAACGACAACGGGCCCGGGAGGTGATGAAGACGGTGACAGCGATATCGAGATTACTGGCTTAGACAATGATGAAAATGATGACGATGACTTCGACCACGAAGAGGGTGTTGTTGACTCACGAACAAAAGTCCATGTCCTGCCTCTTTATTCCCAGCTTCCGACGAAAGAACAGATGAAAGTTTTCGAGCCTCCGCCTGAGGGTTCCCGTCTCATTGTGCTCGCCACCAACGTTGCAGAAACCAGTTTAACCATTCCCGGTATCAGATACGTATTCGATTGCGGACGCTCCAAAGAGAAGCAGTACGACGTCTCAACTGGAGTTCAGAGCTTTCAGGTCGGATGGATCAGTAAAGCTAGCGCGAGTCAGCGTGCTGGACGGGCTGGAAGAACAGGCCCCGGGCACTGCTACCGGCTCTACTCCTCTGCTGTCTTTGAAGGTGAATTTGAAGAGTATACCGAACCGGAAATATTGCGAACCCCGATTGAAGGAGTTGTCCTGCAGATGAAAACCATGGGACTTCATCATGTTATCAATTTCCCTTTTCCAACACCGCCAAATAGAACTAGTCTCGCTAATGCAGAAAAGCTACTACAAAACCTTGGGGCCCTTTCCGTAGATGGCCAGGTCACTGAAACAGGCCGCCATCTCAGCCTCTACCCCCTCTCCCCACGATTCGGTAAGATGCTTCAGATCGGCCATCAGCATGGCTGCATACCCTACGTCGTAGCTATGGTTTCCGCACTCGCAGTATCAGACCTCTTCATACAAGAAAATCAGCTGGATCTCAACCCTGTCAAGAAGGAATGGGATGAAGATGATAAAATCTACACCAACGCAGATAGGCTCGAGGACACTGTAAGAGAAATGAGACGGAAGAACTACGACCGATCCCGCCGTATCTTTAGCAAATACGACGACAAATCCGATGCCCTCAAATCTTTCGCAGCCGTCTGCGCCTACGCATATGCGTCTGATGGCGAATCCTTCTGTTCTCAAATGTTCCTCCGTCCCAACGCAATGAAAGAAGCCTCCCAACTGCGCCAACAGCTTTACGAAATTGTCCGCAGCAACAACCCTGGTATCATGGACCCGTTTAAGTCCCACCTCCCGGAACCATCCGAGAAACAACTCCGCGCCCTCAAACAAATCACCGCCGCAGGATTCATCGACCACATCGCAATCCGCGCTGACATGGCCCCGGTCCCTCCAGAAATTCCCCGCAAGCCCCGAAGGGCGATTGACGTCCCATATCTAACCCTCTTCTCATCCCGCGACAAGACCGCTAAGGGACTCGATGAAAAGGCCGTATATATTCAACCCACCTCCGTCCTCTCGCACCTCTCAGTTGCTGAACTCCCACAATATCTCATCTACTCACATCTCCAACAATCCGCTCCCAATGCCATATCTGATACCCCAATGAAAGTCCGAATGTTCCCCCTAACTGCTGTAAGCGGGCTGCAGCTCTCTTCTTTGGCTCATGGGACACCCCTGGTTGAATATGGGAAACCGATTGGGAAGATTGAGTCTGTTGCGGGTGCGCCGGATAAACGCGAGTGCTGGGTTATTCCCTCTTTAAAGGGGGATCCGGGAAGCGTTGGGTGGCCGTTACCGGCGAAGAAGGTAATACAGAAAAAGGATAGGAAGCATGGGTGGGTGATTGAGAAGTTTATTAAGTAGGGTTGTATTCTTTCATATATATATTAACTCATTGATTACCTGGCGTCTTAAATCAGAAGAGAATAGAAATGACTACCTTCAATGAGTGGCCAGTGCTATCTGTGCTGCATATGCTTGCCCAAAGCACAAATATCATATTTATAGTATGATAGTGAAATAATATAATCTACGTAGGTATTTTTCAATGATGGTCAATGACGCTCGAGTTAATTCCAAGTTGCTACACATACGCCATCAGTCTGCAGCACAGCATAAACGTACGATCATAGTGTCATCGTATAACAAGGCGGACGAAAAAAATAAGACCTTCCCTCAAAATCGCTTCGTTCTCCCCCAAATATTTCAGGAAATTCATATCCAAACAGGGGGGGGGGGAATGATAGAACCCATTGTAGCCTTCACTAATCCCACCTAGACTGACTCCGATAGTAATTCTCATCACGATCCCTATCCTTTATCCTGACCACCGTCGTCATCTCTATCCCTGTTCCCGCCGCCTCCCACCACCGCCACTCCACTTCCACTCATCTCCCTGCTCCCCTTCCCCTCTAATACCCAAAGCTTTCCTCAACCTCTCACTCTCCTCAATCTTCGCTTCCGCCAACTCGTGCACCTGGTACGTCTTAAACTGTTTCCGCTCAGCCTTTCCCCCCTCGCCCAGTCTGGAACCAAACGCGCGACGCCTCCCATCACTCTCACCATTCAACTCCTCTTCCAACTCCCGCACTAGCCTTGCCCGCATTTCATCTAGTCTCTTTTCAATTTCCTCTTCTGAAAACTTCTTTTCCTCCCCCTTCTCCTCCGCCTCCTCATTCTCTTCTTCCAATCGATCTCTCTCTTCCAGGATCTTTACTTCGATGGCCCGCCGCCGATCGTGCTCAAGAATCTGTTTATCAGGCTTGCGCTGTTTGAAGTTATTATTTGACTGTTGGTCTGAGTTGGCGCCGGTAGCTGAGAGGGGTGGGTAAGGCGCGCCGTAGCCAGCATCCCGTGGTTTTAGGTGGGAGAGGTTCCGCTGAACGTAGCCGGAGGTACCACTCCCACGTGGGGTGGAGAGGCCAACGTTTGAGGACATGGCCGTATGAACTTCTGGGCTATGATGCTATGCCGAGAAGAGAGGTAGTCGGCAGCTTTTGGGTACAACCAATATTGTTTGTGTTGATTGCCTTTGTGAGGCGGGAAGAGAGAGACAGGAAGTCGGACACCAGAGGCGGTGTTGACTTATACGCAAAAGAGCCCCGCCCCTGTGAAATTTGATATGTCCCAGCTCTTGTCGCCTTTGATATCTCGATGTCACTTCCTAGAGTGGCCAGGTAAAATGTCCGCTTTTCCCTTTGTGTTTTATCAACTTCGCTTGTGCTCAACTGGGCTGTAAAAGTTGCCGCTCCAGTGCCAATCCAACTGCTCGATATCCCGGGAAAGCTTAAACGGTATTATATAACTGTGAAGGAAGAAAAGAGCTTCCTCTTTCCTCTTTCCTTGTGTCGTGCAAATTAAGAATACTCGAGTGGCAGTGTGTTTTCCGTGGAGTTAGAAGAAGGTCGACAGAGATGGGTTTGTTGTTGCGTCCCCAACCTCACATATCGCTATCGCCACGTGATCTGAGATCGAGCCTACGGCAAGCCGAGGCTTAATAGGGGCCGCACCAAGGGAGTAAAAGGGATAAGGGGTCCTTTACGTATATGTATAGAAAATAATGTATGATTATTATGAAGTTAATCTATTTTTGTTTATTAATTATGCTACGTGTAAAGAAGTTAAATGCAGCGGTAATATAAGACAATATACAAGTAAAACACCCACACAAATTCGTGGAGTGACCACTCGAAACAAAAATTCCCTCGAGCACATCTAGAGAAAAAGAAGCCCGCATACAATACGAATAAGCGATGAAAATAAACCGACACGTATCTCAAAGCTTAAGTCTGCAAGGCATATAGGTAAATGGCACACCAGTCGAACTCACCCCTTCCTTCTATCAACCTGCCTAACTCCATCCAAACACATCCCCAACACTAATCGTACTCCACCTGACCCCAGCCACCGAAACAAACAAAACCACCACGTCCACAACCCCCAACACCACAGCTCCCATCATAAACCTCGGGCTAAAGATCCGATACAGCATCAGATGTCTACGCAACCAAGCCGCCCACATCGTCGTTGCCAAGTTAATCGTGGCATAATACAAGATATGCGTAGCAGCCGCCTGTGCAACATCAGAGAGGAGACGGCTCATGCCATTTTGAAGTTGCTTTGGTCCCTGAGTCTGAATCTGTGATCGTGATTGTGGCTGCAATGAGGACAGCGGACCACCCCATGAATCGACGGGTCGTTTCCAAAGCACGGTTAGCGGGACGGCGGTCGCGGAGAGTATCTGTGCACCAAAGGTATTCAGGATGACAAGCAATGGGGACCAGGGATACTTGATTGTCGTGAGCGGTACAAAGGCACTCTCCCACTGTATACTGCTGAGCGTTGCCTGGTGTCCAGTGGCGAAGAAGTGGAAAGATCCCAGTAAGCCTAGCACGACCGGCCCGAGGGCCGTGTTGCTCGTTGTCAGTCCGTTTGTATCGAGGATCTCGAGCAGGGACAGGATTTGCCATGTTTGAAGACCAATGGCACCGCCACCCATGGGTTTTTGGAGAAGGATTATTGCTAGAGAGAAGTTTATGAGTAGTAACGCGTAGCGGGTGCCGTAGATGTTAGCGTAGCCGAGGATTGTAACGACTGTTTTCTTTGGCGGAGGTTCTACGAAGGGGTCTTCCGGGTTACTGTTGGTGGGGTCAGTCATGGCGACGCTGATGCAGGGCTTTGCCCAGGCGAAGGTCGTGGTACCCGCGGCAAAGGCTATGGCTAGGACGATCTGGGCAAGGACGACGCGGGTGGTTTTCAGGGTGGCTTTGGAAATTGAGGGGAACCAGTCGTCGTTGTCAGCCGCGTCGAGGGTCCAGAAGACTGCGACGATACAGAGGCCGACGCGAAAGGCAATGCTGATCCAGAAGACAGCAGAGCCCTCGTAGGATTTTGTACCCCTGTAGTAGGAGCGGATGACGGAGGGGAGGATCAATGCGAGCAAGAATGGGATGAAAAGCTGCCACCATGCGGACGTCGATGAGGCTGATGAGGCATAGTATGTAGAGACGCAGAAGGGCATCTGTTCCTCCCGACAGAGGCGGGAGAGGGATGCTACTCTCCCCAGCAGAATGAAGACTATGGAATGATATAACCCCAGAACTCTATCCTCCATACGCTTCTGACCTATCGAAGAAAGGGCAGATACGACGCCAAAGGTAGTTAAGAAAAATAAAAGTATTTCATCTTCCCAGATAGTGTAAGAGTTCGACGCAAACCCTATGGACTGGGACACCGTAAATAATACAGCAAGCCATGCCCACAGGGAGCTTGGGAGGGGAGATGAGATTCGTTTCGGAAGATACAAAAATGTTGATCCGACCGCAAATATTCCTCCCACAGCAATTCCAAGCACGAGTGCCTCCACGCGGGACAACGGCACGATCCGCACGCCTGTTGAAATAATACCACCCAATATACCAAGACCGGACCCAACACCTATCCGTCGAAGCGTTGGAAACGAAAGGTCAGTGCGGTCGCCACGGATGCCTCGGGCATAGAACACTAGCAGGACAACGCCGGCAAAAAGAATCAGGATCCCCTGAATCATACTGGGGACATCGAATCTTGCCCACAGCCCACGACAGACACGCAACGTATCTCTCTGGTACTCCCGGTATAAGTTATACGCATTTTGTAAGGCCGATCGATCTCGATACGAATCGTGGTGCTGAGATACAGCAGCCCACTCCTGCTCTGCACGCGCCCAGATCGCCAACGGCCCAGACGTATGGCTCTCATCCATGCCCCTGGCAGTGGCATACGAATGCTGGTACCGCTTAATCTGCGCAGAAGCAAGCCTATTGACATGAACCAAGTTCTTCAAATCCTGACCACCCACACCAGAAAATGCCTCCGTAATCGGGGAACCGAGGTTGTTAAACGGGATGGGTAAGCCCAGCAGCAACGCTAGCGTCGGCACAAGATCTATCTGCGGTACTGGACGTTCCTTCGCCGTCCGCGGCGGTTCGAGAAACAAATCGTTCGTCCGCCCAAAGACCCCCCGCTTGGAATACATCCACAACGCAGCTTCCACCTCATCGTCTGACTCACCGCCGTGGTCACCCTTAGCATCCATTCCATGGTCCCCCATAACAACAAGCAAGGTCGAATCATCGAGATCCCTTATCACATCGCGTATGAGCTGATCCATCTGGCCCAGTTTAGCAGCCATAGCCGCATGATCCGGCCCGTACCGGTGACCCGCATGATCGACGCCAAGATAATGGCCAACAATAACGTCCCATTTCGTAGCATTGTCCGCCTTCAAGAGCGGGAAGAGATGTTCTGTAACCCCGTTGTCGACAGTGTGTAGGTCCCAGACATTAAACGAATCGTAGGCATGCGTCAGGTTCGCTTCAAAAATCCCTGGAAACAATTTATGCCACGTATCATCACCCAAATGTACGATTCGTTTCCCGGCATTATGTAACTGGGCGATCAAATTATCCTCGTCGATAGCGGTGCCCGCAAAATTCGAGCCCGCGTCTATGAACGTCGGCAGGGTGCCTGTGGTCAGGCCTTTGAGGCGCTGTAATGTGGTGGTGGGCGGATCAGCGATGAAGGGCAGAAGGAAAGCATTATCAGGCGACTGCCTGGCAGTTTCGTACAGGACTGGGAAGTTGTTGTGGAAACGATGTGGTTTCTGTCCTTCAACCGTTGGTCGGAAGGGGATTGTGAAATCATATCGGAGAGCGTCAATTACGATGACAATAGCCTTGTCGAAGGTCTTGGGATGCCAGCATCCGCGACCTGAAAGTTGCGAATCCGTCCCTATCTCGGTCTCCGCAACGGATCCCTCAAATGGTAACACCGTGCATTCGGATTTATTCTCCAGCACCAGTCTCGTCAATAGAAACCCCTTCGTGAAAAAGAATATGCCAACTAAATGAATGAACCTGTATTCCATCACAACAAAACAATCAGCCCTAGCACCCGAAAGCAACCAAAACAGGATGGGAAGAAAACCAATCCCACTCACAAAAACCATCCCAAAACCGCCAACACCCCCGCATGCTGAATCTTAAACAAGCCCTCTCTCAGTTTATTCCTCTGCACATCTCTCCTCTTCGCTGCCTTCTGAAGCTTCTCATCGTTTGCCGTCCCTGAACCTGCACCCGCCAACAAACGTTGCCTCTGTGCCTCCTCTTCCTCCGCCAGTGCCTTCGCACTCGCCCACTGTGCCTTTATATTTCGAAACTCATTTGCTGAAGATCGAAGCTGGCCCTGGGATTGGGGAGCGCCCTTGCTGCGCCTGGCATTGTTCCATACGGGTGCGGCGGGCTTCATTGTCGAAAACTGCGATTGAGGGGGAGAGAGAAGAGGGATTTATCGTCCCGCGCTGAAGATGGAAAAATGGAGAGTAAGGGGTTTGAATACGAAAGTTTCCTTATCCTTATCCCGCGAAAGGGGAAAAAAAGGGGGGGCGGGGGATATATATATAAATCTCTCTTTCCTTCACGGACGCAACAGTGGAGCAGTCGGCCGTACCATATATTCTCATACCCATGACGGGGTGACCTTTTTAATTTTTTATCATCCTCTAATAAATCAAATTAATCAATGACCATCCATGAAATTTCCCCCCCCCCCCCAAGTTCCGTGCCACAGCTTCGTTGCGTGCCCAGGTCGGGTTTTGGTCCGTAGGAACTAGATGATTGTAGACGGGCAGGTAACTCATGGATTGTCGCCCGTGATAGGTTTTTTTTTTTTTTTTTTTTTTTTTTGAAGAGTGGAGAGGGGAGGGGTGTATGGTATATATTAAAAGTTGTAATACATTTGCTAGAGGTACAGGCAAATTGATATTTGCAGTGCTGTTGTGAACGGGGAATTGAGCTTCGGCCTCTTCCGGTTCGCACGGAGATTACGCGGAGAAACTATTGGACATATAGTCACGTGAAATATAATTTAGGGGCTGCGGATAAGAATATATATACATACATATGCTACATGATTTTTGAGGGGTGTTTTTCATTAGAAGAAGAAACGATGAAGGAAGCAAAGAGTTTTCCATTTTGGAATTCAGCTACTGATCAACTATACAATGTGTAGTTTTACGGTTTAAGATCGAGAATAGATGTATTGCTCTACATCTTCAGATGCACAGCTTACTACGCTAAAAAAAAAAAAAAAAAGTAAAATAAAATTGAAAAATTGAAAAGGTGAGAAGTTGACACGCGTAAATATAAGTGAGAAAAATGAAGAGTGGGTATAAGCAATGAAGAGAATATCACAGCAGTCAATTCAGTTTAACTACTCGATTGGATAAAAGTGATTAAAGTGAATCCATCATTTGATTACCACAGGAGAATCAGATAAATCAAGTAGGAAGGGCAAAAATAGAATAACAAGGAAATATACGCGAAAAGGAGTAATGAAAAAGGGAAATATGAAATAGGAAATCCACGTCGTCATCCTTTTACTACCAAAAAGTATCCCCTAGGTACGTTTCAGGGGTGCTCTTTGGAAGTTTGTTTTGCATTTTGGGTCTTCCAGGTTGACGAAAAATGGGTTGTCAAATAGAGTGAACCATGGAAGGAATAATAAGGTAAAGTGGGAGCGAAAAGAGGTATGCCAAACCAAAATAGCACAACTACAAACCTCCAGAAAAATTGTTTTGCTCTCGCTGGGTGTTTGAATCTGTGTCCATGGATTGTATTGATGTTGTCTGCTTTAAAGAGCGAGGAAAGTTATAGGTAGTTATGGAGTTAGGTCGTTGCAATTGTTGTTGTCGACGTTGTACGGAGTCGACCGCGGAACGAGGCAGGAATAAATATTAAACAGTATTCAACTTTCAAATGGGAAAGAATCGTAATGGTGATGGATCACGTTTGCCAAAAAAGAAAGAAGAAAGAGAAAAGGAATAACGGAAATGGGTTGCGGGTGCGGGTGTGAGGTACTAATACGAAAAAAGAAAAGAACTGCTCCACGTGCTTCACTCCCCCTTCGAACTCTCCCATCTCTCTTCCCAGTCTCCCAGCTTCTTCTATGACCACCTCTTCTCATCCCTAACCCTATCCTTCTCCTTCAAACCCCCCAGCCTCTCCAAATCCAAAGACTGAAAACCCTCTCCTTCACCAGCCCGCGACTGATACGGTGGCAACTCCTCATCATACGGCTCCAACCCCACACTCCCCTTCTCACTAATCCTCACAACAACAACGCGGCCAGACTGCCTCTTTCCCGTCGACGCATCCTCCTCTTCAGGGAACGTGATGCGGATTTCCGGCACGGGACTTGGGGGTGGGCTGGCGCTACTGGAATAACAACCGCCACTAGCATTGCGGCTGCGCTTTTCATCAAAGATGGAGGACGCGGTGATGGTTAGGCGGCGCGTGTTTCGGGAGCGCTGGTCGTGGTACATGGGGAGTTCTGAGTTTCTGAGAGATTGGCGTTGCTTTCTGCGGCGGATGACGAGGTAGGCACCGATGAGGGTCAGGGAGATGAGGATAAGAACTAGGAGGGAGATGAGGAGTTCTATGGTTGTTTGGGAGAGGCCGTCGTTGTCATTGTCGTCGTTGCCGGTGTTGTCGCGGCGGAGGATGGTGCGTAGAGAGTCCATTTGAGCAGGCGGGTCGTTATAGACGATATAACGGGGGGATGTAGGGGTGGGGCGAATGGTTGAGGATGCGTTGAGATGCGTTGAGATGTGTCAAGATGCTTTCGTAAGGGGACCGTCTGAGCGGTAAGAGGTATAGGGTAGGAGGGCAGCTTGAGTTAATGGATTAAACAGCAGCGATGACGGCGGCGGCGGCGGCGGTGGTGGTCATGAGGGTCGAGAATGGTTCCTTCTACAAAAGTCAACACCATATCGCAAGGAATGAACGGCGCACGGATGATATAATCTGTGTAGGCACGGGCATGGGTATAATAAAATATGGAGGAGGGTAGAGTAGTGTGTACTATACGAACCGAGGAATTGGCGATATCGATAACTTTAAGGATAGAGAGTGCGTGATATGCGATAATCAGAAGTGGTCGTTCAACAAGAGGGAGCGTAAGGCTGCCAAGCGCTGGCTTGTTTCTGCTTGGAACGTTGGTGGAAAAAGGTACGACAGTAGATGTTTTGGCGACCAGAAGGAATGAACAGCAAGGTGATCAGCTGAAAGAATGAAGCTGATACCGGCTAGAATGAAGGAATGACAGATGGTTGGATAGAAGAGGAGGATAAAGGAGAGGAGGAGAGGAGAAGAGAGGAGAAGAGAGGAGGATGAGGAGAGAGGAGGAGAGAGGAGAGAGGAGAGAGGAGAGAGGAGAAGGTGAGAAAAAGGGAGACACAGGACTAGATCACAGCAAGGAAAGTAAGGGAGTGTGTAAAGACGATACACACATCATGCAGTTGTAATTTTAGATTCATTGGCCCAGATGAGCCAGTTCCTGGACATCCTGTCCCCGCTTGGTCACACCCGTACGGTCATACCGCACTCCTCCCTGAGTCTAAGCAAGCAGGTTAACTAGTTAACTCCTCCTTAGAGCCAACTTCCGCCAATCTTACGCCAATCTTATCTCAAAGCACCCACCCAGGCAATTTCAGGTACCAACCAACCGCAGCTCAGCAAATCATCTCCCTAATACCCTTCCAACCTAGTCCAGCGCCGCTAGTCTCCATTAATTACATCAGTGATCCACAGCTCTAGTCCCATCCAGGACAAATCCCCAGAGACAGTATGACGCGTGTTCCTCACAAGCAATCTCCGCTGAGAAGGAAAACCAGGCCAATCAACAGGCTGCTGGTCCCTTGGGATGTATGGATTAGTCATTTCTCAGTCGACTGACGCTCTCCTTGGTGTGTTTCACCAATAGCCCGGGTGCATGGGGCACGGGATACAGCGCGCGTAGTCGGATGCCAAAAAATGGCTGATGTGCGAGGACAGACATGTATAGGATTCCATAGCTTAAGCAAGCAATACGTCGGTTTTGGTTTTCTCTGGATCTGGGGTAAAAAGCGATCCCCGTTTGTGCGGTAACCCACGGGTGTCATATCTTTTTGGATATTTTCATCAGCAGTGTTAGTAACTACTCTTTAGTGGGAAGGCTGTTTTTCAGAGAGCTTTGGCAACAATACGGAGTGAGAAATGATAAATCTGGCCAATCATTCATCAACAACCATTCATGCTCTTGCCTGTGGACCTTTGATGAAAGATATTCAAACAACAGCGTGTTGATTCCAGAAGATCTGTCTCTTCCAGCTCCTCGCATCCAACATCTATGAGCTAATACTTGCTTGGCGGTGATCTTCGTTCATCATCTGGCACCATGTCTAACCACACAAAATTTGAATGGCATAATTCCTGAAAAAACGACGAAATTTCTACTTCTCCACGACCATAAAGAAAATTATTCAATATTTAATACCCCACTTCTCCCGTGGAATCACCCCCGGCGTACACTCGGAAACTTCCCGTGTTCCAGGCTTTCTTCGAACTTTATCTCATCGCAAAGTTTACGGCTCGTTACCTTAATCACGGAGTAATTACGGAGTAGAACTCGGCTAATTAGGTAGTTTTACACACAACAAACGTTATCCGCCGTGACTAGTCTCTGCAAAATCTTAGTGATCCAAGTGTGTTCTATCTCCAATGCTCTAAGTCATAAATAGCGACCTATCCCACATGCATTTCAATCTGGATCTCATGTACGGGGAGATGGTAGGGAATTTATTCATCAAGACCGGACACATAAAGAAACCGTATTCCAGCCTTAAATCTGACCCCACGGAAGCACCTCTCGTACTGTGGAAAGGTTGGCTATATACACACCAACTCCACAGAATCATGGCAACCACCATGCACATTGTTATTCACAAAATTTCATTAATTCTCTATAATTTTCAGTCTTGACTGAAGTTCTCTTCATGCCCACTCCTCTAACCAAGGGGAAGCTGAATCATTGAAGTCCCACTATTGGAGCAGCTCTCTTCTGCTTTTAACGGAAGAGGAAATATCTCAACTGGTTCTTCTCAATCTTCTGGTTTTCTTGAGTGTTACCGTTTGCTAAGTTGACATTTTCTTGTTTCTCTGCCAAAAAAAATTATTTATTTATTATTTATTTTAATTCTGGAGACTGGACTCGCTTCAACCGGCGGATAGGTGTTGTTCAAGATCACCATGGTTGACCTGCACATGGCATCTACTCCCTTCAGAGCCAGTGGAACTATTGATCCGGCGAATCTCTTTTGAGAAAGACGCTTCTGAGGCTCTTGGATGCCATATGAGAGGCAAGGGGCACAATATTACCCTATGAGTTTTCATGGCAAAATCCGGCACATATAGCTATTTTATTTGTCCCTCTTTCTTGCGAAATATCCTCAAATCACATAATCAACGCGGGACAAGCAAAGGAAGAGCCGGCTTGATCGTATCCATGCATACATGGGGTATATACAGGTTATGTCCAAGAAATCCAACCCCAAAGCTGAAATTGTGGATCAAAACAAATAGCCAGGCTAGAGAGTGGTGGCCCCTCTTTCATCTCCTCTACTTAAGGTTGAGCCGATGCCATGTGATCGGTTACTAGCCTGGAGTAGTTAATGGACATTTCTGGATCCAAGGGTTGAATCAGTTTCATCGCAAACACCTACTACACCAAGATGCCGGATCCCGCTCTCTCTGCAAGATTGAAAATTCAGCATTATTGAGATTAGATTTCCTATCATCCCACCTGCAGTCTGGCACATTACATAAGCGCCAGCTCCTGGATAGAATCTCGGAAGCTCCCCCAAGGTCCGCACCAGCCAAGCTTTTTTCCCCGTTAACCTTCCAAAGCTGCATGAAGTCTATATGCGAGTCTAATTCTTGTTTCAGGGCCTAAATGGGATTCCAAAGCATATACATTCCTCAGTTTCTTGAGGGTCTGCTGGTGCACGCAGCATGAGCTATTTTACTACCCGGATTTTCAAAGGACTAGGTTGGAATTCGGGGCAGATGGTTTTTATTCCCCACCTGTTGGCCTTGATCTTGGATGGTTGTATTGTTTTATATATACATACATCTCTTATAAGGCCGAACTGGGTTGATAGTGTTATTCACCTATTGTGATGAGGCATGCAAACCTCATTGCAAGCTTTACCTTGTTGTTGTGATTAGTCGGCTGTGAGATACATGTTAGGCCACAGGCCTTCAGTGTCAAAATATTCTGCTTCCTCCTTCTCCATGTCTCATATCTAGGGAAGTCCTACATAATCTATACCGACCATTGGCAAAAGTTTGCTCCCCCTTTCCTTAGCAGCAAGGAACTGTGTTTTCCCCGATCCCACTCCACTCAGTTTACGTTCTTCTTTGCTATTATATCTAGTCTGTATTGATGTCAAACTCTACGAGTGCTTGAAAACATCTTCTTCCTCTTTCTGAGATGCCAACGTGAGAACGAGGAAATAATTCTCAGAATCAAGAAAGATAACACAAATACAAAGTTTGTAGCAGCTGAACTGTTGGTTGGAGTTCGAGTGCAGGGAACTTTGTTCTTCTTCAATGGCATGCAGCGATCAACTCCACAAATAATCAGCCATCCACCTAAAATGAACTGCCACGAAAGAAGGGTGTGATGCCACCCGCAAAAGAAGTCTCTCGTTGGCCCAGCTTCTAGCGCTCCAGAAGCCGGCAGGGTTAGTGACTTCCCCTCACACACAGGCCGTCGTGCCCAGTTTGTGGATAATAATAATGTTTGCCAAACAAGGAACAACCAGAGAAAATTGGAATTGCCATGGGAGGGTTCGCCATCCACTTACAGAGCGCGGTTACGCTATTTACCTCTTCGACCGATTTCCCCTAAGGCGTTGGGTCTTGGTCTGTGGAGAGGATGAGTCCCTCAAGGAGGTGGTAGAATAGCTCGCGCCCGCGGAAACATCAGTTGAAGGAACACTCTCCATTCCAGCCGCTCCGGATCTCCTTCGTCCGTCCCTTCGACTTCCGCATTTGATAAGTTAATGCGAAAATCAGCCGGCATTTCATCAGGATTCAGCAGCACCTTCCCATCCAGCAAGGTGTAAAGCCTCTATAAAGAAAAAACTACGAATCTCAACCCACATGTAACACCATTTCCCAACCCACTATCTCTTTCCGTCGCAACGAGGGCTGGCTCCGCGTATCCACACCCGGCATCTGTCCGCTCATCCAGACAAGGAGATCAGGCAACTCCTCAACTATGTTTGGGAAGACATCACATTCACATGTATGCTTTGCAATATGGAAGTGAACTTCTTGGAATTTGCCACGATTGGCAGTGGAAAACATTATCAATCCATCGGAACGTGTTGGCATAGCATAGGTTCCAAACGGGATCTGCCCTTAACGGTTGAGAAATGCTCCGCTGAGGGCGAAGCAAAGGTTGAGATAATCAGGAGCAGTCCGATGCTAGGGTGAAAGCCAGATCGTGCGGTTAAGACGTCCAGTGAACATCCTGAATATTGTTGAGTTCGTAAATGATTAAGGGATTTCGAAAAGATTTGAAAAAGGGGGAGAGAAATGTCCTGTGGTACTATTTTGCTAGTTTGTTATGCCTACCTACACTAGGTACCATTGACCTCTTCTTTTTCGTACAGATTGTACAGAGGTATATAGCACAGCCTGGTTCAATTGTTAATATTAATTGAACATACCACTCTCATGTGAAAATATATTTCTATAAGAACCAGAAGAAGAATTTCATTTATCTATCCCCTCAAATTTATATGACTTCTATTGTTCTGCGCTTACATACTTGCAAGTTCAAAGGAATAATGGGAAAGACGAACTTCCCCATCTCCTTAATCACCATGAATTACTGAAGAACTCCACATATAAACAGCGCAGGGATAAAAAAACGAAGAGAACGAGTTCAGAATAGGAAAAAAGAGGCATATCATATGAAAGTCTGGATTCACTGTTGGTCACCCAAACCAGCTCTAGCAGGCCGGCGAGTGTCTTAAGTACGGCTTGAGCGGGCATGAGGCCCCTTTTTTCACTCCTTATGTTCAATGTGACAGGAATCGGGGTCAAAGGGATATATCACCTTTGTCTCTGTTTTCAATCCCAGAGAGAGGCCGGAAATTATTAAACATCTGTGAACCCAGCGCTTATATTTGTGTTCCCCCATCTCCTCATCCTGGATACTGTTTCATATATTCTCCGGAAAGGTGAAGCCACTGCTCCAGAAGGGAAGGTAGAAGAGATGGCGGGGCGAGCAGCAGCAGGGTTCCACGGTCTATTGGGACCAGCAGATTGTTGACGTTGGAAGCGCGTGGAAACGGCAAAAGTATGTCCGATGATTCTAGGGGCTATTTTTCAGATTACGGGGTGAGTTGTATTGTCACAATGAAGCTATACATCCGTACGGATTTTGTATAGGAGTATCTGGATATGGGGATATCCTGCCCTATATCAGTAAACACAGGCGCAAAACTGCGTCTCATGTATGGACTGTACAGTGCTGCTGTAACTAGCTCATTCTTGATTCTTTTGGTATCAATCGGTAGAGCTCATCGAAGTTGATTGAGGCAGAAGAGAGGGATAGGGGAAGGAGTCCGAGTAGCCGGGTCAGTGTGGTTCTTTCTATGCACGTATGCAATAACTTAATGAAGCTGAGTGGGTGTATGAACCGCACCTTTTTATAAGCGGATACATGCATAAATGTATCACAGGTACTGTGGGTATGTATAGAGAATTAGGCATCAATGACTTGGGCATTATTCCTCGCAGACGAAGAGGATGAATGAATTTGTCTTTCCAGTTTACATTGCATTGTTCACGATCAACTAAAATAATAATAGCGAATATCCGCAATTCCCTGTTTTGTACAAAAAAAAACTATTCACTGGAATATATGCGTTGGCTAGAAAGAATGAGGTATACAGTGGACGAAATGGACATACTCTACCTTACGATATGTCATCTCTAGTCGATCACGATCTTCGGTGGGGTGGAAATGATGAGCATTAATCGGAGGGGAAGTATGTCGACAGGAGCGAGTAGGAGGGGGCCACGGGAATGAATGAGTTTGTGACATGATGATGATGATGATGTGATGATATATGATGATGATCAGTCGTTGGCGGAAATAAGGCGGGGGTTGGGCGATTTTCAAACTGGATCAGCCCGAATACGAAGCGCCTCATTTCAACCTCAGATAGATCTGAAGCAGGCAAGTTACTCCTTTCCGGAGTAATCCATCAATCAGTTTTCAATCCCTTCACTGGGAGGTGCTGAAAGAGATAGCGGGACATTTTCATGATTCTGGGTGAATAGTGTGGAGAGAGGGAAGGAAAAGGGACGATGAGTTGATTTTGCCGGACTGCTTTTTTTGAGAAAGAATTGGTACCTGCTTGATGTATCCTCTTATTTTTGAGCCTGTTTTCTCTCCTTTGTGGATTAGTGAGAGAATCACCAAGGACTAAGGGTTGATATTTTAACCTGTGAGGATATTCTGTGACGTACTAAAAACAGGACTAGAAGTTGACTATGACCATAGCAAGAAAATGGAAGAGATATGGGCATTCATAGAAATGTCGGTAGAAAATTGATAGTATATAACTCAAGTCATTCTCATTCCAATCAGTCTTTGATGCTCCGACGGGATCCTGAGACTTTTCGAGATGTTGGGGCCTTCCCTGGCCCTTGACAAAGGCACAACATACATGGAGTACACTGCATATATAACGGCACATACTCAGTACAGGTCCTATACATGGACATACATATGCATAGTTGCACTGCGTAATATGACGTTATGAAATATCAAATAGAAACCTTGCTCAGCCGGCCCTCATTGCGTGGATTCTGGCTTTTCAGAAGCTGCTTTTATCAGTAAGCAGTTAGTTAACTAGATACTTCATGACTAATGACAAATGAATTTACACTTAACTACTTACTTTCTACCAAAAGATCTAACTAATCAATCTCCAAGTGAATGAATGGGTTGGCTGTTTCGCATTGTTGACAAGGTTCCATGCCTTGATGCCCAGTCATGCCAGTTGATCCACAGAAAAATTCTTTTTAAACGGTTACTTTAAACAAGGATAGTAACATAAAATTACAATGCCGAGAGTGGGCAGCTGCTTTTGACAGCGGCGCACAACTTTATAGCTCCAAGCGTATTCTGCCATTCTTTGCATTTTCCGTAAACGTTTCTGAAAGAGGTCCGGGTCCGTCGTTGAGCTTTTGAATGTTGCCCTTCAGGGTCTTCAAAAAACAAGGAAGTTTCCGCAGTATTACAGGCTTAAAGTTATTCTGATACACACAAGGGTGGTGTATTACCATGCGCGCCTTGGGAGCTCTGTATGATTATGGTCCTTAGAGACAAGTGAATATATATCATGAATGAAAACGTCATGATGGTCCATCACATGGTAATGGTTCTGGAAGGGTGGGTTGAGTAGTTGCTTTCTCTGCTTTATGGATCTTTGCTGGGAAGATAGGCGTCCTTTTCTGGAAAATATAGTAGTTCCAATCACAAGCCTCATTGATAGGGCGTATCATACTGTTGCTTGCATAATTATACTTATATCTGCAGATAAAATGATCAGCAAAATGGGATATATGAATGTGGGCGGGGTTCGAGAGTAATATAGATCTACTTGTCAAGCGCGAATCTTCGAAGCTGCCAGCCCAAATTGCCTTTTAGATTAAAGATATGAAGGGGTTCAAGGGGTCTCGCAGTGGCCGAGCAAATAACTCAACATGGAAATTGCAAGTAGCTAGCACCTGGGTGTATATTTGTTGCAGATAATTATCACCGCCCGGCTGTCTGCAGCAACTAGCAGATGTTTGCAAACATACTAGCTCGCCCCAGCGGTCCCAGTGGATAACCATTGGCCCAACACCCCAAGATTGGCTTGCCTTAAAATGATCGGCGGCGCTTGGTGCTGCGGGAAAGTGGAATTTTTCTCGATTTAGGCTTTCCTTCTCCAAACCGGTCAAGCCCTGCTGCCGGGGTTATGGTACAGTTAGTTCCATGGGTATCTGTGGATACGTGAGCTAGGTACCAACCAACCTTGCCAACCCTTTTTTTTCTTTTTTTTTTTTTTTCTGTAAAAATCCCTTTGATTTAACCAGATATGGCTCTTCGACGCTCGTGGTGAATTGTGGACTGGGCAGGAGTGGAGACGGATATGCCTTGCGAGCCTGGGTAAGTCTCTGGTCCCCAGTTTCCAAGCAAACGCCCGCTAGCTCTGCCAGATCTGAACCCATTGCCTATTGGATTTCGTGGGAAAAGGAATTTAACGAACAACGCTAACTGGGCAGAGGTTTGTGTCTCTTGGCCTTTTTTTTTTTTTTAAGCTCACCCTCTTTAACTGCTTTTTTTTCTCTTTTTTATTCCTTTAGGAACCCGCATGGTACTTTGTATTCTAGCTGGAATCGCATAGAACAAGGAGGCACACATGTATGCATGCATGCATGTGTATGTATGTATGTATGTTTGTATGTTTGTATGTATGTATGTATGTATGTATGTATGTATGTATGTATGTATGTATGTATGTATGTATGTATGTATGTATGTATGTATGTATGTATGTATGTATGTATGTATGTATGTATGTATGTATGTATGTATGTATGTATGTATGTATGTATGTATGTATGTATGTATGTATGTATGTATGTATGTATGTATGTATGTATGTATGTATGTATGTATGTATGTATGTATGTATGTATGTATGTATGTATGTATGTATGTATGTATGTGTGTATGTATGTATGAATGTCTGTATGTCTGTTATATGTGCTGTGCCGGTTCAACGTTGGACAATTCCAGGCAGCAGATTTGAGGATGGCAGAGATTTTTTGATTCTTGCGATTTGGGCTGACAGGCTCATCCTTCTATTTTTGCCAGGTTTTTTTGTTCCTTTTTCTTCCTTTTCTTTCCCTAGTGATGTCTAGTCCTTTTCTACAGAAATGAATCTTTGTCAGGACATAGTGGAAGTAGAGGGAGGGGCCATGGCCCATAACTCATCATCACAGTGACAGTGTGCTAACGTGCTCTATTTGCTGAAGCTTTTGGTTAGCAGATGCTATGGATAAGGACAAGGCTCTAATGGATCAGTTTTTGACTATACAAATGTAGTGCATTTCTATCCTTATTTCGTTTCCATTTGTGCAAAATTGGGTGTATTTAGCGGGATTTTAGCCAGGTTCATAGTTGGGCGGATTACTTCTCAGGGCTTGACTTTATGTTAGCCCGGGTCTTCGTGTCTGGGCGACCCAGCAGTCTAATAATTATGGAGAAAACGCGATATATATTTTTGAGCTGTTGAAAGAAGCAGCTTAAAAAAAAAAAAAAAAAGTGGGCTGATAGAATTAATCGATCATTTCTGAACCAGAAAATAATCACTGCGACGGCGCAGCAAAAAGCGATAGCTAAATACCTACAACAGAGGTACTCTATTTACCTATGTAATTGCTAGCAGTAGGAGGTACATATCTCAGAGTAGCGCTGGGGTAAAGAGGATTGCCGTGTTGGGAAGGAAGGCTGTAGTCGTTGACGACTCCCTTCCAACTGCCAACATCCAACATCCAACGTCAACGTCAACGTCAACCTTCAAACATCAGACATCAGACCAACTTTCATTCAACCTCATCGTCCATCTCTTTCCAACCTTCAACCTCCAACCTCCTTACCCCTTATCCCCGTACGATTGTTTATTCATGATACTCGTCTAGCTCTTTATCTCTGCCCATCATCCTTGGGTCTGGAGTGCAATCAGGAACAAGGGAATGCCGCTCTGTCTGTTCGCTGTGTGAGTCTTTGTACGCCCTCGTCTTATTATAAACTGTACCACGCTTCTTCCATTTCCCTCCAACCCGTCTGTCTGTCTGTCTGCCCCTCTGCCTAGTTCCCTGATCTTCGTCATCCCAACTAGCCTCAGCACCGCAATTATAAATTCAGCCAAATATAGAGCCAAACGCACAACAGACAGGGAGAGGGAGGGAGAGCATTTTAAACTGAGGACAGAAGACGCTGATAAATCTGAATCCAGCATCTTTTTTCTCTCTTTCACTGATATCTGCTTGTAACTTACCAACTAACTAATCTGTCTCCGTTGCTCCAGCGCGCTGATTTCCTTGCACAAGGTTCTGCAGTGCGATCATGCTTCCGTTTGTGTGACATCTTGATGCGTTTTCCGCTTCTCTTTGTCTCCTTTGCGATATAGCTTTTCCTCCTGCCTGTCTGTGTCTCGCTGCGTCTCTAAACTTACACACACACATACACACACACACACACACACACACACACTCACACACTCACTCACTCACTCTCTCTCTCTCTCTCTCTCTCTCTCTCTCTCTCTTATACTCACACTCTCACCTCCCCTCCATCTGATTCCCAATTCTGCCTCCTCCATCTTGATCGCTCGCGCTGCTCACTCTTCACTCTCTAAATCGCTGTGTATTATCCACTAGTCTGTGGCCGTCTCCTCACCTCTCACTATCCATCACGGTTCACGGTTCACATACCCCACTAGTATTGCGCGACATTCGCTGCTTTCTCTTTCTCAACCCGTGCCGCTCTTGTCCCTCGCCATTACACAGAGCGCCATTTGACTAGGAGGACATTCTCATCCATCCTCTCTCCTTGCCCCTGCGGCCCTCCTCGTTCGACACATTCGGCTATATCCTATTTTGTCAATAAGCAAAAGATATCCAATGAGCTATTGAGTAGCATCTCAACGCTAATCGCGCTTCCCCCCAGGGCAGGTGAGCTGTGAGTGAGTTGACCTCACTCTTGTCCGGGCGATCTCGTGGTCCTTACCTCCGTCGCCCTTCCCCGGCTACCCGCCGCAACTGCGCTGGCAAACGAAGACGGCGTTTCTTTCTTTCTTGTGTGCCCAATTCCAATACTTACCTTCTACTCTCCATTTCTGTGGACAAGCCCCGTGCCTTTTCTTTAATCCCTGCTACAACAAATATCCTTTTTCGCGGGCTTTTCTCCCCCCTCCCTTCTTGATACTTTTTTATTTATTTATTAATCTTCTTTCTTACATTCCCACCCACCCCTCCTTCCACCTAGGCTCCTGTCTCTATCTCCATTCCAACGCTGTATATTGTGTACATGACTTGTCTCGCTCGGCTTTAAACTGATAAAGAGTTTTCGAGTTCTTTTTCTACCTTCCGGTGGTAAGTTTAGTTATTCATTCACTTGTCCCTTTTTTGTTAAGCATTCACTCCAGCTCCTTCACATTCGGCTATGCTAACCGAGAGTGATAGTCATATATTACTTAACATTTCTCTTGATTTCGATTTATGTGCATGATATCCTGCAAATACATCTTCTCTGTGACCTTTTTCCTTTGCTTTCTATTTTCTTTTTAAATTTTTATTTTATTTTATTTTATTTTTTTTTTAAAAAATAAACCTCTGCACATTGTCCATTGTGTACCAAAAGAGCTTTTCCTCGAAGCTGCAAATACCCACGAGATACCCCAAAGATACCCTCACGATACCCCTTCGGCATATATTCGATTAGCAATAAATTTCACAAGATCACTCTTCTCTATCTGATCAAATTTTTTTTCTCAACATGACTTCAGGTTTATCAGACAGTACTGTGGTGCATAGAGTAAGTTTTAACATTTGTTTTCCTATTCCACGTTTCATCACAGCTGTTAACCATCGAGCTTGACCTCTAACAATATATCCAACGTTGCAGTCCCATGGCCAGAATTCTATTATCAGTTCTTTGTCCACCATGAACGGTTCTGATCGTTCTCACATACCTCAAAGCTCAGGCATTTGCAAAACTTTCGGGACGCCAAAGACGAGCTGGAACAGGAATATCTGGGGAAACAACACACTGGGAGGTGGGTTTGGCGATGGGTCAGTCGATAGTGGTAGAGTACAAGGTATGGTCTATCCCCGTCAACCTTTAATTTATATATTCTTGATGAATAACAGCTCTCTAATAATATATTTGGTCCGCTAGGCCACAAGAATCGTGGGTCTATCGCTGAGGTTCCAATTGAAGGGAAAACTGGATCTGGGTCTCTGTTATCGACTTCAGAGTCTGATGTTTGGGCGGAACCTCCCAGCTTGCCCTGGGAGTCAGTGTCCACCTTAAGGGGTACCCTGGCGAATCATGCAGGTCAAGTTCTTCCTAATGATCGAAGTACTCTGCTGACCATGAACGACATTTCTGGAGGCACTTCCTCTCCATACTTTCCCGCCTCTTGCTCCTCAGCCCTGGGCCAGCAGTCCCACACTTCAAGCAATAAGTCATTCATGGTGCAGCCCGACATACTTCACTCATCCGCAACCCAAGACTCTCCTGGTATGGTAGGTTTTTATGGCTATAGACCTGAAGAAGCTATTCGCCGTCACATCAACGGCCCTCCCTTTCATAACAATATAGGCTCACGCCTACAGATCAAATCGGGGCTCCCCTTAGGCGACATGGAAACCCCATTATCCGAGAATGGCATCAATCCTCTGAGCTCCCAATCGTTCTCCCCAAATGGAGTCGATCAGATTTTAAGGACAAGAGAGCAAACACCCTATGGACACGTCTCCCACAACTCTGTTTCTATAATGTCACAGCGACCTGCGCACTCAGCTCATCCATCTTTCCACTCCGATTCTCATGGAAGCGACCCTAGATATCGTGGTCCCCAAAACTATCTTACTTCTGGTATTGGTAAGTTTCATTTGCAGAGTGGTTATAATTATAATCACCAAACTGCACCCCACAGGCCACCCTACCATTCACACGTCTCGTACGAACCGTCGTCAAGTCGACTTAAGCCTTACTTGGCAGATGATGGAACTGGTTCTTTCCCGGCTGATGATGCGTTTGATTTCCAAGCCAATCATCCATTTGGTGCACCCCGTTTGAATGATAGAGGCCCCGCTTCACCCTCTGTCAGTGACTATACTCGCAGCGCGCATAGCTTTTATTCGGCTGGAGGGACTCCATCAACTAATTCTCAGTTCCGGACCTCTTCTGGGAGTCGTCTGATAGGGCAATTGCCAAATGGGCAAGCAGAGCTTTTAGAGCGAAAGGTCCGGAGCTTCAAGGAAGAACAAGAATTCTTGCAGTCTACGGCGAACCTGCTTCAAGCACGCTTCTCCCTTGCTCAAGACTATGGATACTCGGGATATCAAGGAGTCCCTAGAGTGAACCTTCGTTCCAACTATTATCCAGTTGCCTCGTTTAATGGACTTGGGCCTGCGTCCATTTTATCTAGGGTCCCTCATCGTGATCAGGATCCATTTCAAGTTGTCCGCAGTCCTCTTCTCGAGGAGTTCAGAACGAACAACAAAAATAACAAACGATACGAACTGAAGGTGGGTGTATGTTGTTTTAAACTGATACTTGACTTCCTCGACTTTTTAATGGCTAACATATTCATCTTAGGATATTTATAACCATATTGTTGAGTTCAGCGGTGACCAACACGGGTCACGGTTTATTCAACACATGTTGGAGTCTGCAAATAGTGATGAAAAGGATCAAGTTTTCCGTGAGATCCAGCTTAATTCGCTTCAACTCATGACAGATGTCTTTGGCAACTATGTCGTGCAGAAACTTTTTGAGCATGGTAACCAGTCGCAGAAGAGGATACTGGCAAACCAAATGAAGGGTCACATCCTTGCACTGTCGACACAGATGTACGGTTGTCGGGTTGTTCAAAAGGTATGAACAACAGCCCTCTATCCCTTGCCTATTTAGATTTTGGTATGCTAATAAGATTGCGTAGGCTTTGGAACATATCCTAACGGACCAGCAAGCGTCAATGGTGAAAGAACTCGAGAACCACGTTTTGAAATGCGTTAAAGATCAAAATGGCAACCATGTCATCCAGAAAGCAGTGGAAAGGGTCCCCACTGTTCATATCCAGTTCATCATCAATGCCTTTAAGGGACAGGTCCACCGGTTGGCAGCCCACCCCTACGGCTGCAGAGTCATCCAACGGATGCTGGAACACTGCAACGAAGGAGACCGTCAAGCCATACTTGCAGAGCTCCATTCTTGTTCTGCCGGCCTTATCCCGGACCAATTTGGCAATTACGTTATTCAGCACATTCTTGAAAATGGCGAGGAACATGACAAGGTGAAAATAATCTCGATTGTTATCTCTCAGCTGCTCGTGTTTTCGAAACACAAGTTTGCCAGCAATGTGGTTGAGAAGAGCATTGAGTTTGGTGCAGAGGACCAGAGAAAGGAAATTCTGCAACTTCTGACAACGCCAAATGATCGGGGGGAGAATCCACTCCTGGGTCTCATGAGGGATCAGTATGGCAACTATGTCATTCGTAAGTTATTCCATTCCATAGTTTAATCCTTCGTCTTCTAATGTATGTATTCCTTCAGAGAAAGTTCTAGGTCAACTTAAGGGTTCGGAACGCGAGAATCTCGTCTCGCAGATAGAGCCGCAGTTGATCCATCTCAAGAAATTCAGTTATGGAAAGCAGATCGTCGCCATCGAGAAGCTTATCTATGATTCACGCGCCAACGGAATTACGTCCGCTGAGACTCCCATAACTCGCCATAAGTCCGAATCTCATCCATCTTTGAGTGAACTAGACATCTCCACGTCCAGCGATGATAACAACCGTGCACCCGCATCCCCCACTGTCGGCAGCACTCAGAGTTCCCGAGGATCCAGTTCTGTTCTAAGCACAAGCACAAGTGTTGTCGAAAGTTCTACGGATCAACAGAAGCAAAGTCTTTTCTCTTCTGCCGCCACTACTCCGATGTCAGAGCGCAATGAAGGACATAGCAGCCTCTGATCTCAATATTTCAGGCTCCAAGTCTTCACGCTAAGCCTGCTACTATTATTCATTACTTTATCCCGCACGTTTACAATTGCCCCCCCCCAAAAAAAAAGAAAAGAAAAAGAAAAAGAAAATTGTCGCCGTTCTAACGCTTTATTTAATTTACTGCACAGTATAAACATCTTCTCCCCACCCCCGGCGTGTCAATTGACCAAGCCGCTGTCACAAATATATGTCCCGTGGTAAAAGGATAACTATAGTCAGCGTGAATGGTTTTATTGCTCCATTCATTTATGATGGCTATCATAATTTATCGTCATGACCCCCATCCATGCATTTATTACTCACTTGATAGAGCTTGATGGTTGCCTTTTTTTTTTTTTTAGAGTTTTATTAGTTCATCTACGACTGCATCCGTATTGTTAATTTCTATTTTAACATTTTTTCAAATTCTTTTTATTGTCTCTCGGGTCTACAATTATTATTATTTTGTCTGGTATACGTGTGTTTCTTTGACTCTCGCGCTGTCAAGCCATGAAACATGGATGGTTTTTTTTTTTTTTTTTTTTTTTTGCTGGGTGTCGTGGTGTTCTTCCTCCAAAAATATTGTGGTTATAATTCCTGTGATTTAATTCTTCTTCCTCCTTTCTTCCTCCTTAATTGTGCCGGCTAAATCTTGCTCTTCTTTGATTGTTATCTCCTCTATTGCTATTACATTATTAAAGTGAACTGAACGGGAACAATATTAGGGCTTTTCCATTTTTTACAGTCTTGCTACTACTGATACTTACGTCCACTCAGCATCTAGCTTGACCTGTTTTTACACCATACATTTAGATTTTATTTTATTCATTACATTACCTAACTCGTCTTTCTTCACGCTTCGTATAAAAAGTTTACTTCCCAATTTCTTGAAATATGGGAAGCGAACTAAAATAATGAACCAAACTGTGAGATAAGAAGTGCAAAGTGGATTTAAGCTCTGTTCCCCTACGACCAGACATGACTTTTTGTTTTCTTAAAAAATGAAAAACTTTAATTTTCAACGTTTTATTTTACTTTTCCTTAAGGCCAGTAAGCGAGACGTTTCAAAGAAAGGAAGATATTTTAAATTTGAAATTTGAAAATATTAAAGAGTGTTTCTTGACCTGGCTATCACTTGTATTTACTTTGCTTTATATTCTTTTCTTTCATCCTTCTCACATCTTCCTGCTGATCGAACAGAAACATTAACTTTTACTTTGTATAATTTTATTAAGGCTTAATTAATTGAAAAGTTAGTCAATTTGTAGAATACGTATAAAATGTTTGACATTTCCTCTCTTCTTATTTCTTCTTGAAACTTTAAGTTTTAAGTGGACTTCTTCGACGGTTCCTGGTTCCTAACCTTGAGACCTGGTTACGAAAGTGGGTTCTGGATTTGATGTTGAGAATTGTTTGTAGTGACTTGAAGTATTGAGTGGAGCTATGACACGGTTTGATGTTTGTCAAAGACATTAAGAAGTTAATATGATAGGTTCAATTTTTGTTTCCATCAATTTCTGTTTTCTTCTCTTGCAGCGGATATAGGCCATATCCATGTATATTTTGTTAAAAGTTTTCTTTTTCCAGACGAGGAAGGCGCGTTTATTTTATTATCGGTATCTTGTATGTCTGAAATCTGTTCAATTAGCCAACTTTATTGAAATGAATTCGTCTATTAAAGGTCTTTGGAGATATCTAGTTGTTAGCATCATGTGAAGAATCTCTTATAGATTCGCAGGAAGAATGAGACGCCCTCTCCTACAAAAATAGGAGGCTCAATTCCAGGACCCTCTACCAATGCCCCCGTTAAATGTGATGCCATAGACTATTTTCTATCTATTCCACCGCTCAGTGGCTTCCAAGATGGAAATATTCACATTGAAACCTCCGATCAACGCGTCGCTGTCTGTGGTTAATTTTACAGGCGGGGCGTCTAGGCATGCAGTCAACCTTTCCTCTAAACCCAGATCACTTCAAGAACAGCTCGAGATCAAATTCAGTACCGTATCCCCGAACCCAATTCTGACTTCTCAGTTCGAAGCTTTGGATTCTGAGTTGACCGCGATCCCGCCCCCTTTCGGGTTGGGAAGAAAATTTGCTTCAGAGGGTGAAGTATGGATGACTTTGAAAAGATGAAGAATTGCCCGCATACCAGAAATTCCAATCAGGCATGTGCATGACTCCTGGACAGGTAGCATATAGAGACTTGAAAGCGGATCAGGTATGATGTGATGATGGTATTGTATTTGACTAGGAGTTAGTTTTGTGGTTGGGGTTGAAATAAGGTTTGTGGGTCACTCCGGAGTAAAAATTAGCCTCCCTTTCACGGATCCGAGGGCCAAAATTGATGGGTTGAACATCGGCCTCCCGTCATTTCAACCCTGGAGTGAGATCCTTCTGTTCGCACATTCCTATGTATATTCATAGCTTCAGTAGAGAATCGTAAAAGATTCCCTGACTCTCTTTCTACGGGTGTCTCTCAACTAGTGGATTCGTTTTTAGCATTACTTCCACTTCAGAACAGGATCTTAGTATTTTTTTTTTTTTGAATGATTCCTTGATTGAATATCGGGCTATGATAGTAGTTAGAAGTTATAATATTCAGCAATAAATACGTAACTTTTTTTTTCCGTATTTTTGAGACGGAGATGGGGTATGGACACATTAACATATGGAATAGAAGAAAAAAAACAGAATCTCCGCTCCGTAACATCGGGAAAATATACGCTCGTGTGGGAGTATAAAAGCGAAAGTATATAGTAAACGCTGAACAAATTCATAATAAAAAATGCGACGTTGTCATAACATGCCATACTTTCCCGTTCCCATTTTTTGCGCTCCTAATCGACAGTGTCCTTTTCTAATTTTTAATTATTTAATTATTTTGGAAAGGTCATTAACGTTTAAAATTTGGCGTTTTGATGTCCTGTGTCATTCCACCATGTGATTCAGGTCAAAAACTCGAAACTTGTAAATATGTTTAGCGCAGAGGGGATATTGGTGGACGTGCTGGTTTCGTAATCATCGACTCCATTTTGTAAAGTCCAGGCTGGCGAATACGCTGGTTTCCGGTTGCGGCGCCCATTCCGAGCTTGGAGAGGAGTTTGACTTTCCAGATGGATGGATAGGCAGTTCCTCGGGTTGGGTGACAGTTTTCGTATTCCGCCGGTATGGGGAATATGTTCCTCCTTCACTGGGGCCGTCAGTGGTACCCTCCACCCCTCCTTGTGCTGATATTGATGCCGATGCAGTGGCACGATCTCGTAGCCTCCGAATCTCACGGAGACGGTTGTGCCAGGATGACAGGTGTTCACCTGAATCACGGCTTGAGACTAACGAGTAGAATGAAGCGTTTAGTGCGATAATACGGACGAAGGAAGCAAGATTTTTGCAGGAGATAACTTTTGGTACAGCGGACGCGGATAAGTCTGGGAAATCCGATTTAGTCATTACCTTGACGACATAGAAATATCGGCTAAAGTCGAGGATATCGGTTGGTTTCTGTTCGGAATTAAGGTTGTGGAAGGGACTGATCCTGCAAACGGGGGTGATCACGATATTGACGAAATTGAACTGAGACGGGATGGTGTCGAAGTTGAAAGCAAGGTTGGAGCGGTTGAAAATGATGTTCACGAAACTGTTCCCGATATGTCGCTTCTTATTAACGCACTGAGGATCGGTCTCGAGGTTCGTGGGCATCATTGTGGCAACGTGGTAGATGATTTCTGTCACTCGATCGCGCCATGCATATGTATATTCGCCGTCATGGTCGCTGTGCAATCCCTGAGTATTGAATTTGGCATCCTTGATTGAAACTTTTGTTCCAAGACCGCAGAGGAAATAGTCGTAATCTGGACTCCCTGACACGTTTGCTAGGATTTCAGCCTCCTGAGTTTGACCTTCTCCGATATAGATGACCCCAATTTTATGGCCATCGACAATGTCATTCCTGTCAAATGTGCGGATTGCCCGCCGGGTGAAATCGTCATCCGGTAGAGGTATAGGCTGCATGCTTATCGGCATGGGCATGGCCGTAGTTGTCATTTGAAGAAGAACATGACTTGGCAATATTGCCGTTCGTGAGGAAGGACCGTCGCTAAGTGAATGTGAACCGGGGTACACAGGTATTTGGTGTGGCAGAACTGGCGCTGTTCGCTGTTGATAGATAGCATACGTCGTTCCAGATGCTTGCCTCTTCGTAACTTGACTTAATCCACTAGCGCCCGCAGTTTCAATGGTAACGATGCTCATTCCAACAACCCAAGACTTCTTGCTAACAGGCCCATCTGACTCGGAGGTTGGAAACTTTTCAAAGGGAATAGTATCCCCCAAGTCCGAGAACGTCACTCTCTGCATGAAATCGATAAAGACTTGGCTTTGCTCATCGACCACATGATTTCCCTGATCGTCAGTGAAGATGAGACGTTTGGAGATCCAATTCACGTGGTTTGCTCTATCTTGGAGCTTAAGGGAAAGAAACCAGAAAACCATAACATGGTATGTTAGAATGTAGACATATCTTGAGAGGTCGTCAGCACTTGTCGAGTCCGAGGGCTCCGTCGACTGCATTGATGGCAGCTCTTTGATTCCTCCGCTTAACCGCGCAGGTAACGAACTAGACCGAAAGCTCAAAGGATTACCTGACTTATACCTCTCCCTCGACGTTTGTATATATCGAACACAAATCCCGAATAGGGGCCGTATTTCCTGATCTCGCAAGTTGACGTAAACATCTGGTAATCGAGCGAGGAGGGCCAGAAACTCAAGGATATGAGCAGCGATATTAGATCGAGTGATTATTTTTGACATTTTATCAACGATTACGTTCAGAGCCTTAGTCACTGAAAGGGGTATCTCATGGCAGCAGACAGACAAAGCATGTATACAGCCGCGCGAGGTGCCTTCCCAAGAACCGATGCCCTGAATAAAAGTGCGCACAATTTCGTCCTGTTCGCTTTTTGCGAAGTGTTGATGGAAACTGATTAGCATGGTAAGAGAGTCGAGAATACAAAGAGCAATATCTGCTTTTCTCACGCCAGTCCACCCAAGAGGCTCTAGAAAACTTTCATTCTTTATTTGTTCACAGAGGACACTGCGGAGAAGCTTAATCTGAGGGACTGCACTCTGGAAAAGATCTCTATTTATCAACTGTGGCCCTAGATGAGCGAGGACATAGCTGTAAACATCCCAATCTTTCTCCTGTTGAAAAAGTGAAATGACCGTTTCCAACCACAGATTTATCCTGAGAGGGATTTTCCTCGCTTCATCTGGTTGCTCAGTGGCCACGTCATTCAAATAGGCAACTGTATGAATGCTGGCAAACGGTGGAGGGTCTTCAGGCAGACCCTTTGGTTCGGCATGAGTCCAAACAGGTGGAGTCCATTTTAGAGTGCGGAATTGGGCATTTGATCGACCGCTAGATGTGGGAAGGGGCACAGATGCTTGTTCTTTCAAAGATGACCTACCACCTTGGGCCTGTGACGCGCTTTCCTCAGTCTTTGATGTGCGTTCTGAGGAAGATTCTTCGTTTATGCTTGCTCTTGAAGTAAGATCAACTGTCCGGCATAATACACTGATCAGGAATTCATTCTCTGTGGAAGAAATGACATAGATGGATCCGGTGGAGTCACAACGGAGGCGGAAAAGTAATTTGAGGGCGGTCAAGCGTGAGTCGATTGGCCTACTTCGTGATTGAGCGATTTCAATAAGCTTCTCGTATATAATTGAGGCATTCACTGGGGCGTCCTTCAATGACCTCAGAAACATTTTAACCAAGCCAATTGTCACGACATTTGCCAATGACGGTTCCGACACATCAGCAGATGAAAGAGACCTTGATAAGGGGGCGGTTGTTGATGACCTTTGTTCGTTATCACCGTCCTTGGCCATAGGGGAGCCAAATGTTTCAACCAAAAGCCTAAAAGTATCCTCGTTGCAGTGTTCAGATGCTTCCACCAAAAATGACACTAGTGCATCAAGGAAATAATATGAGCGTTCCTCAGTAAACCTAACAAGCAATGATGAAATGAAGTCTTCTTTGTTAAACAATCGGGCAGCATTGTCTGACCTATAGGCATCTTCAAATGTGCTCAGTGCTTGCAGGCGGACTTCTAGGTTCTTATCTTGAGGGAGGATAAAGTTGTTAACAAGTTCCCGGGAGAAATGTGCCCATTCGGGGTGTTTCGGGTAGCAAAGCCTTTCCGCTTTGCAAAATTCGAAATAAAGTTGAGCTTGTGCTGGACTTAGTTGACTATGCGCTGCGGCAAATAGACTACTTGATTGTAGCCGTTGTTCCCCATTCATATTCGGCCAAATGGATTGTATAGCGGTAAGGATACGATTGATATTTGCCGCTAGATTTGATTGCAAGTCGTCCATCACACCGGACCCTGAGGGGCAAGCTTGTCGCGCTTTCGGATCCGGACTTAGGGGGGAAACGTCCGCATCCAGAACCCGCTGGGAACAAGTGAGAATCAGGCGAGTTAAATCTGACCAGGTATGTTGCAATGTCGTCGAGGAATATTCTCCTTGTAGCAAACTTAAGCACACATCCAAAATATCGGTGTTGACACGGCCGTCATTTCTTTTAGCCGCACTTAGAAGGGAGCCAATCAGCTCATCAAAAGATATAGTTGGCATTCCATCCTGGCCATAGGCAGCCAACAAATCCCTAAAAATATTAACAGCGCCACGAGTAACATTGAGATTTCGATCTTGACGTTCCGTTGTTTCTAGAAGGAAGGCATGTAGCAAAGACACCATTTCAGACTGTTTTCGTGATTTTGCCAAGTTACGAACTGCTCGTGAAGTAGGACCAGCTAGAGACTTCACAGAAGCATGGATGCTGCATAATACCTCCAACAAGCCATTAAAACTTGCGTCAGGAACGTCCGACGTGAAAATAACCGCATCAAAAACAGAGAGGGAATTTTTAATGTCATTGGCCACAGTTGTTTGCTTGCAAATGGCAAAAACTTGGTCCAAAAGCAGCTCAAGTTCATTGGGATTTGGAGGGTAACGCTGCAAGGTAATTACGTCGATGACCAACTGAAAAAGGTCTCCCAAAACTGTGTCATCTACTCCGTTACCGTTCTGACGTGGTGCCTTGGATTTCTTCAATTTCGAACGCATCGAAGCGACTGTGGCATAGAGAGGAACTATCCAAGAGGCAATGGTTGGCAAAACAGGTTTGTCCGTAAAATCTAACTTCCTTCCATGGTCCGACAATGAGATCAATGCATTCACTTGGGAGGGAATCACGTCTGGCGGGAAGGACTGCGAAATACAATGGAACAAAATTTGACGGGTGGGTAAAGAGAGGTCTTGCCGGCGACATATTGCCTCCAGAAGGTTGGAACCGGCTTTTCGGGCATCAGCTGAGCTTGAGCAGTCGATGAGATAGCTGCCTGACTCCCAAAGCGACAATGCTTGCTCCGCATTGTAGTAGTGTAAGGAACGAGCTGCAGTTTCTGCTATTTCCAGTGCGGCGGCAAGTGGTTGTTCATGGCTAATCCCCCTTTGTAAAGTCTCAAAATCGGGAAGCTCTTGGGAGTCTGGGATGGTTGAGGAAGCGTTTCCCCGATGCAATGACTCGAAACCAAAGGTGACTCTACTACCCCTTCGGCCATCCATCTGTTGTGGAAATGGTTCGCCAATGCTATTCCCATGCGGCACGGGCGATTGTGACTTTGGGCGTCCGCTTGCTAGCGTCTTTAAGACATCTGCGAAAGTTGAGGAAGTTGATTTATTTTGGGGGGGGGAGGAAGCATCCCCAGAAGACATACGTCCAGTTGGACGGGCGGATCAGTGGGTTGACGTGTGACGGAACACAACAGTGAGCTGAAATGGACTAATAACGCACAGAGTTAGTTCACTTAAGGCCTGATAAAACCTCGTGTCAACATTAAAGTAGGGAACCCTAAAGCGGGAGTGGGGAGCCAAGACATGCCATCACATCGGAGATAGATCTGGGGGTAGGGTTTGGATCAACATAGAGCGGGCGCAGAAAACTTTCCATACAAAAATTAACAACTACGAATGAAGGGAAGTAAACTCTCGAGCCAGTTGTGTGTCTCTGAGATAGTCAGTTATCTTTGATCGGAATGGTCAAGGCCAAAAAGGTCAAAATAGAGTTGGGGGTCACCTTGGAGGAAACACGGAGGGTCAACAGGCTAACAGGAAACGTAACGGAACGAGGGTTGGCAGGTTGCCTCAAGGTCGTCCAGCACAATATCCACAGTAGCTATGGCCGGGAAATACAGAGGAGAAGGTGTTGAGCGCGTATGAGGGCGGAATGGAGGGCGGAATGGAGGGCAGGACGACGACGAGGAGGAGGTGGAGGTGGAGGAGGAGGAAGTGGAGGAGAAGAAGAAAGGAGAGGAGCAGAGCAGAGGAGCCGAGGGGAGAAAATGATGCTCGGGGCAGGAGTAAATCCGGGGAAAGCCCAAGCGGGATCAGCTTGGAAAATATTTGGCGCCAAGGCCGCAGCAGGGGTGACCCAGTAATTTCCTGATTGGGATGCGGAGTATTTTTGTTGCGAGGAAGCCGATGATCTCATGTCACGTGGAAAATGCAAGTGGCAGATTAGTTGTTATTGCCTAAAGGAGTACTAGGTGCTGCAATTAATGACTCACCGTCTTGGTGACCGCCCGACCGTTCGCTGACATAAACAATGCGACAGTGTGCCAAGCACCACCAAAACAAACTTCCCGAAACGGGCGGTTTGACAAAGCAACATTTTTTGCCTGGGTTGAAATCCATAACCAACCACATCGGACAGTGGCAGACTCCCGCAGTCAGGGAACAGCAAGGAAATAAAAAAACAGGAGGGCAGACACATAGGCCCCGTCCTGCATATATCTTTCCAAGTGGGATACTCCCATAGAGACTGTCTGGGAAGAAGCCCATCTATAGTTACGACATTATTATATTTCTCTCTTATACTTCTTCGTACTACTAGTAACCCCTCCGCCCACTCGCTCTCATCCTCCCGCCTAGAACTATACCCACTCCCGCTGCCATGGCTGACAACCTGGCAGCTCTCTCCCAGCTTCTTGAAGCAAGCTTAGATCCAAGACAGTACAAGCAAGGTAAGGGTCCAATGCGCAGATCCCGTTCTTGCATTCTGATCTAACAACATTCCACCCCTGATAGCTGAAGCTACGCTGCGTCAAGAGGAGACAAAGCCCGGCTTTTCCATCCTTCTCCTTCAAATTACCGCTTCCTCTTCCACTCCATACAACACCCGTCTAGCGAGCGCATTATGCTTTAAGAACTTTATCAAGCGCAATTGGACAGATGAGGATGGGAATTATAAGTTGCCGCTCGACGAGGTAGCCACCATCAAGCGGGAGTTGATAAGCCTGATGATATCCGTCCCCGCGGGAATCCAGACTCAATTGGGCGAGGCTGTAAGCGTAATAGCTGACAGTGACTTTTGGGAAAGATGGGATACCCTTGTTGATGTAGAGATTCTCTTCCGCGCAGAATTATCAAGATGGTCGCGTACTGACATGGTTTGACAGGATCTTGTTTCTAAATTCTCGCCTGACAACACCATTGTGAACATCGGTGTTCTACAGGTGGCACACTCCATTTTCAAAAGATGGCGGCCTCTATTCCGGTCAGACGACTTATACACGGAGATCAACCATGTTCTGCAGAAGTTTGGGAATCCATATCTGTCTCTTCTTGAGGTATATTACCGTTCTGTTTACCATTCTGTTACCCTATACTGTTTCAATTTGGCACAAAACACTAACTCTGATTAAATGAATTCTTGAAGTCCCTTGATACCTTCCTTGAACAGAACAAATCCAAAAAGGAACAACTTACGCAGGGTTTCACTCAACTCAATTTGATGATAAAGTTGCTATACGACCTCTCCTCGCATGATTTACCCCCAATGTTCGAGGATCACCTACAAGCTATCGCAGCCGTTCTTTTAAAGTATCTGATGTACGACAATGCGCTGCTCTATACAGACGACGAATCGGAGTCGGGACAACTAGAATTCGTGAAGGCCGGCATCTTTGAGATTCTGACTCTCTATGTACAGAAGTATATTGATGTCTTTGGAACCCATGTTCAGCAGTTCATTGGGAGTTCCTGGAACCTTCTGACTACAATTGGACAGGACACGAAATACGATATACTCGTCTCCAGGGCTCTACAGTTTCTCACTTCAATTGCGCGGATACCAGAGTATGCTGTCGCATTCCAAGATGAGGGTACCCTGAGTCAAATTACTGAAAAGGTAATCCTTCCCAATATCAGCTTGCGCGAATCGGATATTGAGATGTTTGAAGATGAGCCAATTGAATTCATTCGGAGAGATCTTGAGGGCTCAGATAGCGATACAAGGAGACGAGCTGCAACAGACTTCTTGCGACATCTACTGGAAATATTTGAGCAATCTGTCACAAAAGTCGTCACCCAGTATTCTGACCATTACCTGGCAGAATACAGCAAAAACCCATCAGAACACTGGAAATCAAAGGATACTGCTGTCTATTTATTTTCAGCTATTGCGGCTAAAGGCGTTGCCACTGCGATCCATGGCGTCACCAGCACTAACAGCCTAGTGAATATAACGGATTTCTTCCAAAAACACTTGGCATCCGATCTCGTTATGGAGAGTGGCGTGCATCCAATTCTCAAAGTGGATGCCGTCAAGTATCTTTACGCATTCCGGAGTCTGATAACGAAAGAGCAGTGGCAAGAGGTTTTGCCGCTATTGGTAAAACACCTCGGTGCGTCCGAATACGTTGTGTACACTTACGCGGCTGTAGCGCTGGAGAGGATCCTGTTCCTGACAGACGGCGTGGGGAAACCTGTGATCCCACCCAGCTCCATTACTCCATTGGCTGGAGATCTTCTCGAGCACATCTTCCGATTAATAGAGAAAGACCCGGCCCCGCCAAAGGTCCAAGAAAACGAATTCCTGATGAGATGTGTCATGAGAGTGCTCATCGTTATCAAGGACGCTGTTGTTCCGCTCACTGACAGTGTTTTGCGCCATTTTATCACAATTACCCAGATTATCAGCACGAACCCAAGTAACCCTAGATTTTATTATTACCACTTTGAAGCCCTAGGTGCTCTGATCAGGTTAGTACTGCAGCTCAACAAATTGTTTAATCATATCTAACATTACCACTACAGATTTGCTGCTCCTTCACAGCCAGCGAAGCTTGAGGAGACACTCTATCCACCCTTTGTCGCTGTCCTGCAGAGTGACGTCCAGGGTGAGATTTCCACAGCAGCCTGTAATCAAGAGAAAGGTGTTACTAATACTGGGATTAGAGTTCGCTCCGTATGTATTTCAGCTGCTCGCGGCGTTACTCGAGGCCAATCCATTCGGAACTCTTCCAGAATACTATCAAAACCTAATCGCCCCGATCATTGCGCCCGCCATGTGGGAGTCCAAGGGCAATGTTCCGGCCCTCGTCCGCCTCCTGTCATCTATTATCACCCGTGGAGAACAGTCGATCAGGACAAATAATCAAATAGAACCGATTCTGGGTATATTTCAGAAGCTCGTCTCTTCCAAAGCAAGCGAGAGCTATGGCTTTGATCTTCTAGAGAGTGTCATTGCTACTTTCCCTTCGTATGCCATCTTACCTGCGAACGCCATCCATAATGCATACAAAAATATACTGATTGATTTTCAACTAGGTCCGTGCTGGAACAATACTTCGTCCCCATAATCCGAATCATCCTCACCCGTCTTCAACACTCCAAGACAGAAAACTTCTGTCTCCGATTTGTTCGATTTTACCACTTCATTTCTGCTAATGACGCCAAAGGCTACAGCGCGGATTTCTTCATACAAGTAACAGAAAACGTACAATCTGGGTATCTCTCGCTTCTCCATACCATACATACCTTTCCTTCCCTTTCAACCCTATACTAACAGCCATTCACTAGCGTTTTCACCCCAATCTACCTCAATATAATCCTCCCCGAAACCCAAAAACTCGCCCGCCCTCTCGACCGCAAAACAGCCGTAATCTCCTTCACAAAAACGCTCGCCAACTCCGAAGCATTCGCCACCCGCTACAAGAAGGGATGGGCATTCACCTGTGAAGCCCTACTAACCCTCCTCGGCCAGTCACCCCTCCCTGCAACAAATGGTGACATCATTGCGGAAAACGACGTTGAGGATATGGCGTTTGGCGTCGGTTTTACGCAACTGAACACCATCCGGCCGACGCCCAGGGATCTCCGGCCGGATATTGGATCGCAGTATAATGTCTGGGTTGGGTCGTATTTGAAGGAGACGGATAAGAAGCATGGTGGGAGGATTTCGGCATTTGCAGAGGAGAGGCTTAGTCCTGAGGCGAAGGTCGGGTTGGAGGCGTTGCTTAGTGGGTGAATTTTAAGGTGGTGTGGAGAATTGACTTACGGAGCTGCTTGGATGTATGAATGCATGGGGTAATATTACTATATTGGTCTTGTGCGAACGTATAGTACATTTAGATTTCCATTTTGCTGTCTGAGCCTCGAAAGTACAGAATCTAATGATATGTGATATTGATGAGGCATCTGAAGCGTTCCGTGGTTAAGGGCTGACAAGAACTACTCATTCTTCTCCTGAAAATCATCACGTATAGAGCTCGATTATCGTCGCCAGCAACCACTAATATCATGTATTAAAACAACCAGATATAGTGATTAATAGTCTCCTCACCAGCTGTGGAAAGATAACAAAACATCCGCATAACCACTCATGAGAAACGAGCGTCCATGCCCTATATGGCCACATCACTGAAAATCGTGCTACAAAATTCAAGTGAAATCATGAATCGTTCCGTTGACTTCGATGTCCAAAATGCCGTCGCACCGCACCCCGTAATCTTCCCGGTCTTCCTGAACCCTTCTCTAACCCCATGTGCTCCCTGTCTTTACCAAACAGCTACATAACCCCCGCCCAACGGTTGAACCCGATAAAGGGCTAAACGTAAACTATATATGTCGTTATGTAATAGGGCATGACTAGTATATGATCCCGTTAGGTATGAACGTGCGAAAATAAGCCAAAACCATCAAATTAAAATAAAATTAATAAATAAATAAAACTGAAAATATAACAAACATACCGCACCGCATGCCTCGCAGGTCTTGGTACCGCCATCAAAGATGAGACCGCAACTTGGGCAGGTCGAGTTGTGAGAGTCGACGGGATTCATTGTATTTTGAACGTGTATTTGTATGCGTTTGGTTTGGGAGTTTTAGTTACTTTAATTTCTCTAGGTGAAATTTGGATAGGAAGGTAGAAGTCCAGCACGATATATGGTCTATTGGGAGGGGTTAACGGGGTCTTATATAGATTAGATTAGTGAGGGAGGGGTAACAATGAGGGGCTGCGGAGAGATAACTGAAGAGGTGAAACAGAAGGCCTCCATATGACCAAATGTTTTCTTTTTGTCGATATTTGAAACAAGCTTCTTCTGTATGGTAGAGGTTCATGTGTTTTAATATAGTCAATACGCATTAGGACATCATCACAACTGGAGGGTCGGTAAATCGCTGCCCAGGTGTTTAATAAGGTTGTTACCAAGCGGAGGTGGGACTGTCAGAATGGACGCTAAAATGCGCCCTGAAATGAGTATATTTATGACGTACGATGCCCGAGTTCATTATGGTCTTGCTCAAGTCACTTTCCCTTACTTTTGCTTGTATGTTTTTCGCTCTGGAAGTGTCGCACCTCCAATTCACTTTTCCACCACGTTCAGATAGGCCAGTGACCCGAATTGCTTAATCCCCAGAGAGGATCAGATCCCATAGTACGTGATTCTAGCTCCTGTGTCATGAATTTGTAAACATGAAACAGAAACACGGCAAACTGATGTTCCCATCCTTCCTAATTCCAGGAAGATTTCGACAGGAAAAACTATATATATTCCCAGGAATTTGCACCGAACACGACACGGTTTGAAGCAATTTTCTCCTCTCATCTAAATACACCTGCATTTTGCTATTCCAGCGGCATAGCAGCTCTCCAAGCCGCAATAGCACTCCTGAAACCCGCGCCATGTGTCTGCTGGTGAAGGATAACACGGCAGTCATGAAGTGATCGCTGTCATTTCCCGTCTTTCAGGACTTCAAAAGCTGGATCTTGACTGCCCTGCTGAACCTAGAAAAGGGTATGTGATCCTGCCCCGTTAATCCACTAGACACAGCATACAACATCGAGAAATATGCCACGAACGCCCACGAAAGGGGTGCATATCTCATTGTAGACCAGCATGTCTGCGCCGCCAGGATTGCAAGACCCGTTCCTATGGGTTGCTGATATCGTCATGCATTCTGGGTCAAAATATTTCGGAGGTCACTGAGATCTTCTATGTGGGGTTCTCGCCATTGGGAATGCGGAATGAGTAAAACAGCTTTTTTGTGAGGATCGGGCGACTGTTGGAAATGTCCTGGGGAATCTGAAAGGTTGGCTTGGTGTCTGGAGTCTGCGGACGTTGGAAGTCAGTGGTGTGCGGTGCGAAAGTGAGAACGTTGTGAAATTGGTTTCACGGCTCCATAGAGCTTTGAAGGGAACGGCACTACCACGAACCGCTTCTGAAAGTGAAGAGTTTGTTATACAGGCCGTTGTTGACAAGATACATGATGCTAGTCTCCAGAATGAAACTTGCTCATTGAAAAAAAATGATGAACGGTTTATGGGCCTGTGATTTCTATCATTTTGTGCAGTGACGACTTTGCTTGGAAGTTACCTAGTAAGCTCATGTATTTTCATCATGCAAGTAGCCTCGGAGGAATGGAATCTCCGATTGAGTGGCGTGCGATGCCGGATTTGACAGTTAATAGGAGGCTGTTGAGGGTTAGTGTTGGTTTGGAGAATTGGAGAGATTTGAAAGCCGACTTACTCTAGGCTTTCAGTCATTGTTAGCGGAGTAGTGATCATGGCCTACCGGATCGTTAGATAAAGGCCCTCAGAAGGCTCAGAAGGCACATGTCCCCTATCAAATCACGCTCTAGGCCTTTGGCCCTCTGGCTATACCTTTCTTTATTTCTAAAACTGTGTAGACGCCTCGTATTAGCAAGGTTCCACTCGATGGATCAAACATTTCAAGGGAACAGTGTCACCTCCTAAGTATGGGTGTCGTTGATTGGCCACCTGCGACAGAGAGTTGGATCAATCAGCTGATAAATTTCTAACATTGGGTCGGACAGCGGCTATCAAGGAAGATGTGAAAGACCATATAAGAGAACTATCGCCAAAGGTTCTATTGATTGTTATTGCGCTCTACCTAGCCCCCCGGACGCCGTGGAAATCTTCAAAAACCAAAGAGAAGGAATAATCTATTCCATAGTTGAGCATTAACTAAGTTCAAATCTTAAAATCACCGCTGCTCGTTCGCGTTCTCAGTACCCTTTTTTTTCCCCTCCCTTCTTCTGCGCTTCCCAACCACTTGATCCACCCCCCCTCTCCCCAACCCCCCACCATCCCCTTTTCGTGTCACTTCTTTTCAGCTTTCGCCTCTATCCCTTCTACCTCTTCTATTCCCTCCAACTCATCCCCCTCCCCTTCCATCCCTAACTCCTTCTTCCTCTTCTCCTCCTCCAACTTCCTATACTTCCTCCGAGCCTTCTTAACACTTCTGGCCTTCCTCTTCTTCTTCGTCTCAGCCACGATAGCCGCCCTACTCTTATCGCCCTTTAGATGAAGCTCGACTTTCTCTGCCAGGATACCCATGGCTATTTTCTGGTTCTGGGTGCGCGAGCGCGTCGCCTGGGATTTGACGACGATTCCTGTTGGTTTGTGGATGAGTTGGACGGCGGAGTTGGTTTTGTTCTGGTTTTGAGTTGTTAGAAATTAGCAAGTATACACTTGAAGAGAGGTAGGATTTGCAAAATGGGGATTCGTAAAATGTGAATGGGATTGGGAAGGGGAAGGGGAAGGAAGAATTAATGTAAGGCATCTACTTTGGCTTGGTGGATGAGAGAACTTCTGAGGGCTGAACAGGAGGTCCTTTAGCAAGTGCCATTATCCATGATTCCTAAAGTAGTCAATGACTAATGGAATCCGTCTAGGACCCGTTTGCGCAAGATGCTCTGTATCGCTGCATTGTAGAGAGCGATAGACGTAGAGTGGTTGGTACCGTGGGAGGGCCTCCCAATAAGATATCAAAGGGTCCAGCACCATCCGATTGTACCGTAAATAGTGGCAATTAGAACAGTGGACCAAGGAAAAGACGACACAATGTTGGCCAAAAAGAAAAGAAAAAAAAAAAGAAACAAAACAAAGAGAAAGTATGTTGTCAATCTAAAAGAAACTTATGGGTAGAATAGCGCGTAAAGCTAGTTGTAGGAGAGACAATTGCCATAGATGCATACAAAACTCCCCAAACCGACCTCTCAAACGAGACCAACAAAAAAGGATAAGAACAGGGACGCAATTCGATTTCTTAAAAAAAAAAAGAAAAAGAAAAAGAAAAAGAAAAAGATGATGTACTAACAATAGCCTGACCCCCGGGGCCCGATCCCTTGAGATAGGTGCCAGTAATTTCAGCAGGATTAAGCTTTGGGCGTGGTGGCATTTGCTTCACAGATAGCTGATGGCAATGCGAGAAGAATCTCACAGAGAAGTTTACTTGTTGCCATGGTTGCCTTGTCCTCCGCAGAGATATGGCTGCGCGGAGGAGAAACATGGTTAAGCCGGAGGGGATGTCATATGCGGGATGTGGAAGAGGACGACAGCAATTTGATTGGATGGGATAAGGGGAACGACTGTTGAAATGATCAGGAGGAGAACCTAAAGCTGATGACGTATAGTTAGTTATAGTTTGAAGGAATGATGTTCCAGAAGTGAGGTATATTGTTTATTCGCCTCCGAACTTTAACGAGGTTAAGCAAAAAAATGAACTTAATACGGAGTTATTTCTTATCTGGTTTAACCCTTCGCAACTCTTCCCATCTTCAACAACAACCTTTCCAGCCAGAACCTCACTTGCAAGGAGGCCAACAGTACATAACTAGTTAAAATATATACTTGCGATACGACACTCGTTTCAGCTACCGTGTTTGCTTTAACTAGTGTTTTGGTCTAGTCACATCTCTAAGTGATTTACCTACATTTTGACTCTCTGACAGCGGACTCTCTTACCGCCGACTTGTGGTATCTGAATATCTCGATAATCTTAATTAGTATACGATGAACTGCGCCATTCCAGCCCGTGACTGACATTGACCAAGCCTACTAAAACAAGCCGTACCAACCGCACATCTACCTTTACCTCTACCTCTACATCTCCATCTATATAACACATCAGCAACCATGTCCCAAACCACCTCTCCCTCAATCATCTCCTCTTTCCTACGCTGGCTCCGGCTGAAAAACTACCAATATGAAGTCACCGTCGCCTTGTACATGCTTACCCCGACAGAGAAATTCATCTTCAGTACGTCCATATCTTCCCCTTTTCCCCCCCACTTCTTCACCATCATCACACAGCTCCTCAAATCCACATTCTCCCTAACTAACAACCGCGGCTGCAACCATTACCGCAATTGTAAACAACAGATACCCTCCTCCTCCTCATAACCTCCATGCTCCTCACAGCCGCCTACGTCTACCTTCCCAACCACGTCGCAACCATCAGCAAGCGCATCTGGTACTACTGGGCCGGAGACAGCTTCACAGACCCCCCCTTCGCAAACGTCACTGCCGCTGTCACCGCCGCTGTTGCCTCCACGACTGGCAAATCTGTCCTGTCTGCTACGCAGCAGAAGGGGTATGACGGGTTAATGGAGACTGTGAAAAATGTGGCCGAGGCTGCGACGGCAGCGGCGGGGAGGGCGGTGGGGGAGCTGTAATGATGAATGTTTTTCTTGGTTGATGGGGATTGAATTTTTGAAAAAAAAAAAAAAAAAAAAAAAGGCTTCATGTCTTTTTAAATTTTTCTGGAGTGGCTCTACAGATATATTCACAATATGCAAACCCCTAAAATGGAAAACAAAAAAAAGAACAAGAATTAAATCTTATCTCAAACTCCTCAACTCCTCAATCCCATGCCAAATTAAGATCCAAGATCTAACAATGCATCCTCACATCTATTTATATATATATATATATATATATATAACGAAGGAGAATTGAAGGAGCAAAGATGTTACCGATCTCCAGTTAAAACACCCCATAAACAACGTTCACATACAACCACCCCAGTTGCATCCAACATCCATCTCACGAATCCGTCTCGGCACTCCCACTCCCACTTCCACCCTGACTCTCGACATTCTCCCCTTTCAGCTGCGCTCTCCTCAGCGCCCTCTGCCTATTCATGCGTGTCAATTCCTTCTCAATCTCCTCTAGATCCATTGGAATCTTATGCGATTGCTCCTTCGTGGGCCAGTAGCCGGGGACGGAGAAGCGTTCTTCGAGATTTGTGCCGAAGTAGTACATCCAGCCGATGGGGAAAAGGATGTAGATGCCGAACTGAAGCGGGTGGGTGGGTGGCTTAGCGGGTTTTCAAATATACCCCATTTTTTTTTTTTGGGGGGGGGGGGGGGGGGGGAGGAGTGGTGGCAAGGGAGGGAAGGTGATATTAGGGGTTATATGTTATATACCTTGAAGACTTCCAGGTTCCCGCCTTGGAGCCTGCGGAGGATGGCGCTGAGCATTGTTGATAGATTAGTAGAGATGATGCGCGAGGGTTTCTCTCTTTTATCTTTCTTTGTTCGTATCTCGCTATTTATTCCTTTCGTAGTCGTCTTGGATTGTGTTGTAGGAGGTAGATTGATATGTTCTTCTATTTCTTTCCTTCTGGTCTTTCTTTCTGCCTAGTAATTCTTTTTCATTTATACCTCTTGTACTTTCCCCATGTATTCAAAAGTGGAGTGTAGGAGAGGCCCTTTTTTCGAACAGAAATATTGCCCTTTTTCGCTTCCACGAAAGCGATGTGCTGCGGGGGACTCAGGAGGAGACCAGTTTCGAACTGGGTTCAAGCGATAGAACGGGTTCGATGTATTCAAAGCAACGAGCGAATCTCGACAGATGGAACGGACGGAAATGAAAGAGAGGGGTTCTCGAATTGCGGCCGATTGGCAGAATTACTTCTGTATCTGCGCCTCTCTCCCTCCGCTTCCGCTGTCTTTTCAGTTGGTCTCCTATTCTTTTTGTTCCTTTCTTTTCTGCACGAGAAAGATCGAAGCTTTCCAAGGCCGGATTAAAAGAGGTTTCTCGTGGCTATCTCTTAGTCATCGGCCACATTTGTCCCTAACTAGTTAACCTAATTGGGCTTAATTCATGATGGTTTGCACGTGATTGCAATATTCGGCTGACTAATCTGCCTACGCCTGCTTTGAACCTCGGCAACTTTCACTGAGTTTTCTCTGTTCAACTTCATTTTCTGGCTCGAACGGGGATACTTGCGTGAGATCCATCCGTGGATGCATTGGAGGATAGACTGCTTGTTCTCTATGTTCAGTGTTAATGTCTTGTCTTAGGGAGGTGTACGTGTTGGTCCCCTAATTATTCCCTTGTGTTATATCTTGGCCCCTTCTGATCTGCTGGTCAAATTCGGCTACATTTTCTAGCCAGATGGTCCCTTAACCGCGGTGTTTCTACATTCCCCCTCTTTTATATAGAAAGCATTCAATCAAGCGGCACGGCACATACATCTGTTCATGTGCTACCACTCTGCATCTTGATTATGAAGACCCTCTGGCTCTTTAATTGATCTCGTCTTCCTTCTTCCTTATCTTTGCGTTGATCTTTTCCGGGAAACATCTGTACTCTTCTCCACAATACAAAAGATAATATCCCTTTCGATATAACATATATCTCCTGCAATCTGGCTTTTTGGTTTGTCCAGTTCGTTGTATTTTTGCCAAAATAGTCCAAGCAAACAAAATAAATTATTTGCAAACATGTGCACCGCAGCCAAAGAAGTCACGGTAACCTACCAAGGCCGAATAGCCATCATCACCCTCGATAGACCCAAAAAGCTCAATGCCCTCGGCGGTGACCACTACTGGGAACTGGGCCAGAAGATGCGCGAAGTCGCGCAGCGGGATGACATCTTCATCACTGTCCTAACAGGAACAGGCCGCTTCTTCTCCGCGTAAGTCAATTGTCTCTAACTCACCTCTGTTTCACCGTCGATTAACATTTTCCCTCCCCAGCGGCGCCGATGTCCAGGCCGTCCGCCCCTCCGGCGACAGCGACGATGCCCGCCGCCAATTCCTCCGCAACTTCGTCGCAAACAACCTAGACATCACATTCACCTTCGCCAACCACCCCAAAATCCTCGTCGTAGCCCTCAACGGCCCCGCCGTCGGCCTCTCCGCAGCCCTAACCGCCTTTGGAGACTTCATCTACGCTGCTCCGCACACCTTCCTGCTAACCCCGTTTTCCTCCCTTGGCCTTGTGGCGGAAGGTGGAGCCAGCCGTGCCTTTGTCGAGCGCTTGGGAATCTCCAAGGCCAACGAGGCGCTGATTATGAGCAAGCGGATTCCCATTGAGGATCTGGTTTCGACGGGGTATGTTAATAAGGTTTTCACGGCGCCGGGGGGCAAGGAGGATGCGGCTGGGTTTTTGAAGTTGGTGTTGGAGGAGGTTGAGGAGAGGATGGGGACGCATTTGAATCAAGATAGTATGGTTAAGATTAAGGAGTTGATTAGGCGTCCTGAGAGGGAACTTTTGCAACGTCAGAATGTGGCGGAGGTGTTTGTGGGGATAGATCGGTTTTTGAGCGGGATTCCACAGCAGGAGTTTATGAAGATTGCGACCGGGCAGAAGAAGCATAAGCTGTGATTGGATTTGTGGTGGAATCCTCCCTCTCCTTTTTGGTAGCTACTTCAACTTCAACTTTTTGTTGGTTCCTTCAATGATTGCCTTGATGTTAGCTTTTGTTAGACAGCTGTTTTGTCTCTGATTTGCTTTCTTCAGTTGTATTCAAGAGAGAGCGCATGGTATTCTGATAACAGGGTAATCTAATATATGAGATTCATGGGAAGGTTGGTTTATTATACAATGTAGATAATTAACTAGCTAGTTAACTAGTTATATACAAAGATGACTCATAGCCAGCATGGATGTATAATATTTATCACATATGAACGTAGCTAAGTGGATTTGCGGACTGTGTTGTGTGTTTAAGGAGGAACGTTGACAGAGAGACTGGAGAAAGATATGTGTACAGCACAAAACTGTGCATCCACGGGCCTGAACTGTGATTCAGAGTTACGTAGTTAAAATCAATACATTCTTCTCTAGATAGTATCAAAAATCCACACCTGCAAGACAAAATAAACGAGGAACAGTGATCATGAGAAGAAGACATAATAATCCTACACCCTCCCAAGCTGTTCCGGTTTGATTTACCCCTTGAACTCCTGACTCGCAATGCATCTGCATCTTAGCCTTTTAATCTGGCCCGAAATATGTGTCAAAGCAAAAGGTCAAAGGTAAAGAAAACGAAAAATATAGAAGGGGATCAGTAGCAAGACCGATTCCATTATTTTTTGTTATCACGAACACCCAACTTCAAGCACCCTCTGCAGCCGCCGCTGCATCATCCTCCCGTATCTTCTTCGCAAGGATATCCTGCCATTGGCCCAGGAACTCCCCCATGCCACCGGGCCCACTTCTCGATGCATCCACGACTTCCCTGGGTAACTTATGCGCCGAATACCGCGGAGTCATGAAACCATACGCTTCTGGATCGTCACGTTCCACTAGGCGGAATTCGGGAACGAAGGGGAGGGACGTGATCTCGTCTAGGTCATCCTCGTCCTCTTCCCCATCATCTTCATCTCCTTCTCCATTAGCTTCTTTTTCCTCCTCTTCCTCTTTATTTTCAGACTCCAATTTACTCCGACCGTTTCCTTTGCCCTCCTCATTCCTTGAATCCCTCTGTCTTAAGGCTAATCGCACCACTTCTCCCTCCGGAACCCCTTCCTTATCCTCTACATCACAACCGGGGCCCTTCATTTGCAAAATCTCCAGCCACGAGAATAGCAGTGGATCCGTACGTGGTGCCCAGGGGTTAATATCCATGAGCCACACACGATTATGCGGCGGGGGAACGTAGACATCAAAGACAAAATCCCGGTCGGGAAACGTGTCGCGTAGCCTTATGTCAAAGAAAGTCTGGATTCTGTCGCGCAGGTTGTCGCGAAGGCTGAAGAGGAAGTCGAAGTGGTTTAGATCGCGCTGGCAGAGGCAGAGGAGTTTTCTGTCTCGGACGAAGCAGCGGAATTCTAGGGCGGGGTTGAGTGTTACGTATTTGCGTAGGACGAGGTGGTAGGGGATTCGGGGTGGGGAGTCCTGGACACCGGGTTGGGTGGTGATTTCTGTCTTTTCTTGTTGCTTTTGCTGCTCCTCTTCTGATACACATCCATCAAATGCGTGTTCGAGATCATGAGTTATGAAGTCGCTGCTCTTTAATAGTAGGTATATATCATTTGGAGTTCTGCATTGCATGTCGTTTGTTGCAGAGATCCAGGTTGCATCTTTGGGAGCACTCCAATTTAACTTTGGAGCTACTTTCCCATCTAATTCTGCTATTGTCGCTTTGATCTGAGCGTGTATCTCGTGCCATTCGGCAGCGGGGTCCACCTCTTCATCGTCCGAAACAGACCCGTCGGATACGGAGTAGACGCCGCTGTCATCATCAGTGACGACGGATCTGTCATCTTGTGGAGGCAACATTATACCATCTGTGCGTAGATAGTCGATGAATGCATCAGTCAGGGGAATGAGGCGGGCTTTGGGTGTTACGGCACGATATCTATAGTGGGGGTTAGCGGAGCCTGTAAAATAGCGTAATGCTCGTTTGGGACAATTAATTAGTAAAATAGAATAACATACTTCGGATGCCAGAAGTGATAGGAACAATGGAGGACATGCGACCTGGTGAGAGGAGGGAATGGCAGGTCCTTGGAGATAACCTGGAGGGGCGTTCCATCATCGTCGCCCCTCGCTATGGTGGAGTCTGTCTCTGTTGAGAGCATGGTTGTACGTTCTTTTAAAGACTCGAGATGGATGAACGACAGCGTTTGAGAAAGAATGTAGAGAGTGTACGTTTAGTATTTCTCAACACAGAAGTTGAAGACTCCACAGTCCAAACACTCAACTTGATGCATATTTTGTGATGATGCAGAGAGGAAGAATAGCCCTAAACCTAACTTAGTCTATATCTGGGGTTGCAGTTGTAGAGCTGGAGATAGAGAGATCAAGCAATTAAAGGGAATAATTATATTCTGAAGAGAGGTCTGCAGTAATAGATGAATAGATGGGGATTATTGAAATGTCTGAATCTCTCTCTCTCTCTCTCTCTCCACATCTCTCTCTATATAATTGAACAACAATTTTGAGTGTATGTTTTACACATCATGTGACACATCAAAATTTGACCCGAGCATTCAATGTTGGGCGTATGTTGCCCGGGCTGCCGCCCCGCCGCACGTGATATAGCGTATATTAGATAGCTAGCTAGGCCTCCCAATATGAGAGATTCAACCATCTCACATTCAATAGCTGTAACGTAACTTATATTGCAACATCTATGTGAACATTCTGCAGTCCGTCTCTTTTTCTGTCAGCTGTTGACTTATTTCAATCCTTGTATCCCTCTGTATCAGGCCGCATTTGAAATGTTGAGTGGAAATCCAGATAC